GGGTCAGGGGAGCTTACTCCTGGGCCGGATCAGGTGTGTAACGGTGCACCACAGGCTTTAGCAGGTGATGGCTGTGTGCTTTTTATTCCCAGTGGGGCAGGGGCGCTCATTCCTGGACCGGAGCCGGCCAGCAGCAGTGCGGTATTGCCAACATAATTTGGTATACAAGTTGCTCAGAAGTTTAAATCGCAGGGCCGGCCAGACTATGAAAAAAAGTGCGACTTATATTCCATGCTGTAGTTCTTTTTTAAAACACAGAGCAGTTTTGTTTACTTGTTTTCCCGCTACGTTTCGTTTGCGGCTGCAAATGAAACGTAGCGGGAGGCAATGACATGGGGGTTTTGGATTTTGCCTTTAGGACAGATTTATTTTCAGGCAAACAGGATAAACATATCCCTGACTGTTATAGCTAATGTGTTGTTGATAAAATTTATCTATAGCCATAACACCGTTGACAACTCTGTTCTTCCTTCACAACCCAGTGTTCCACTCATTCTGCAGCTCTCTGGGCCAAATGTATTAAATGTTTTTTTTAAATGTACCGACACTTTGTGTCCTGTTATTTTATAAAATCTAATGTAAGAAAAGAAATGTTTTTGCTCAATTACTGGAATTTCTTTGGTTAAGACAAAAAAGGAGGGAAGAATCATTTATGCCAAGTTATTTCTACAACAGGCCCATTTTAAGTCCAACAGTTTCTTAGCAGCCAATTGAAATGTGTTCTTTACTAACTTTACTTGGTTTACAGCAATCAATTTCCCTCCGGGATTAATAAAGTATTTTTGAATTAGAATTGAATTGAATTTAAAAATCTTACTAAAATAAACCTTAAGAGGCTGTCGTATTGCAAAACCCAATCATACTTGTTATGTATCCAAGTAAATATTAGCTTTGTAGATATTTGTAGATATTTTTTCATTTTAGTGGCTAGCTGCTAGCATTAGCCACTAGCTTGCTCCGTCTCTAAGCGGTCGTTAAGCGTATTCTTGCGCGTGCATCTGTTCGATCAGGGAACCTCTGGGTCAATGTTCTGCTCTAAACTTCGCCAGATAGCTTTGTGACATTTATTCAGTAAGTTTTATTCAGAGCCCTGCAACAGCCCCACGGATCTCCGACTGCTGCGGAGGAACGGAGCACGGATTCACGCGGCCCGTGCGACCGGCGCTGATCGCTGAGGCAATTTCTGAGGGACACCACTGAAACTCTGCAGCTCGACAAGTTGAGTACTTAAAGTCACTTTTCTGGCTAAACCTCCGTTGGCTTCAATTAGTTCAGTTGGCTCGTAGCTGGGAACAATGGCGGACTCAGTGGGTGTGTCAGAATCCACGGGAAGGATGCTTGTAAGAGAGCATTTTGAGGTCGATGACGTCACAGCGCAACGATGAGTACTGTCCGAATTCCAAGAATACTCATCCTCACATCCTCAAATACGTCCTCGCTCCACCCACATTTTGAGGACGGGTCTGTTGTATAGTCACAGAACAAGGCTATCCCAGCATGCTTTGCGCGCCTGCTGTGGATTTTCAACAGGGAGAAAATGGGGAGAGCTACGAAGTTTTAAACGCGTTTTTTAAAAATTAGCCATAGAAAACTAAAAAGCTTAAATTGGTTCTGTTTATAGACATTTTTCATTTGTATATTTGTTTTTTAAATTACATTTTAGGCAGAAATTAGCCAGTATGTGTTTGTTTCACGGGTCCCAGTTATTCCCGTGTGTGTGTGTAGCGAATTAAACTTGTCATTTGTTTTAGGGACAATAGAAAGTTTTTATTAAGCTTAGAGGCAAAAAGTGAAGCTGTCTACACACAACCACAGAAGTTCTGTATTCTTCTGTGAAAAGTAGTTTTACATTCAGGGATTTACACAGCTGACACGTTTTAATGAAGTAAAAATTGTTTCTGTGAGGAATAAAAGTTTTATCTTCTCATGTGGATAAATGTAAAAATGTGTTTGCCTTTTTGTCACCTGTGGTCTCTGATTTCTCTGTTTAGGACTGCAGGTGTCCAGGGTCAGGAGAGGCTTTACCTGGTGGTCCTCCTGGGAGAGAGGCCTTCTACTGTCATCATGTTAATGTTATTTAGCTGTTTGATATTTGAACACGTTTATTAAAACAAATACTGATAACTCTTTCTGGTCATTGATTTTATCACCAGTTTTATTATTACAGATGTTTTTGAACATGTTACATGAACAGAAAATGAAAAGTTGGTAAGAGACAAGATTATTTATTATACGTTACACTTATTTACAGATCAAAATCAGTATGGACCAATTATGCACGATTAAAGCAGGATTAACCTGAGTGACTCTTCCTAGATCATTTATTTAAACTGAGTGAGCAGGAAGTCTTTAACAGTGCAGCTGGATCTGCTGCAGGAGGATCCAGACGTGGATGGAGGGCTGGAGCAGACCCGTGGCGGGACGTTTCTGGTCAGAGGAACATCATACAGGATGGTCTGCAGAGAGAGCTTTGGGATGCTTCCTCTCACTGTCCACTCCATAGTCCATCTACAGGGACTGCTGGGCTGGCTCCGACGACGGCTGTTACATCTCTAAGATGTATTCAGAAATATGAAATGAGGAGATGGTTTATGGATCCACTGGTATAACAATTGTGACTCTTCAGCAAATAAAACCAAAGTGTTGTTTTTAATAGAGGTTCCTACATAAATGGCTTGCCTGTTAACAGAAGTGGTGGCTTGCTGGTACCTCCTCCAGGACAGAGCACCACTGACCTCCTCCACACACACATCTTCCTCAGGCTCATCCTCCAGGGCCGCTGTCGGTACAATTTCTGCTCGGGTGCAAAATCGGCTCGGGGTCCTTCGACTGCCGATGACGTCAAAGTACGGCAAACCCACTCGGACAAAATACACTACACATCTATACTGTTGGAAGGAATTTAGCAGTTTCGTTATTAAAATAATGCTTCTTAAGACGTAAGTTTATGTTTATAATGGTATTTGTAAAATAAAACCCTATATTTTATTCATAATGTTGAACTCCTCTTTGAGCACATCCCTTGAAGAATCATAGGTATTAGCAAAACCTGTGAAATTGTATATGCAGGAAAGAAGTGTGTCCCGTTTATTGAATTATTTTGTGTTTAGAGTTTTTGACGTCTTGTCCATGCGTGGTTCAGTTACGCTCATCGCTGCTAGCCAAAACTCTGGAGTTAAAAGTTTTCTGGCTTTACTAAAATACCTGTCTGTACTTATTTGATTGATGGTAGTTTTACTTTCTATTAGACTCCAAATGTAATCATTTGGCACGTTTCTAATTCATAATTTGTAATAATGTAATCTGTGATATTAGCATTAGCATTCCTATGGGTTTTTCCATGTACATTAGCATTGCGCTAACCACTCGCTGCCAAATTGCAGCCTTTGCGATAAGAAAATCTCCTTTTGTCACATCACAATTTAATTGCACATGCAGTTAATCGTTCAGCCCTAATATACATGCAGCTCTATGCTAAAAGTGTATTTTCAAAGAGGTAATGATGGATTTCTTTGTAAAAGTTGTCCATCTTTCCAACAGAAAGATTTGCCTGGACCAATGTAACGTGATAACAACGTAACGTGATTACGTAATTCCGTAAGGTTCATGTTCAGCCAATCAACTACTTAGACGTCATCGGCAGTCAACGGACCCCGAGTCAATTTTGCACCCGAGCAGATCTTGTACCGACACCGCAACTTCACCAGCACAGAGGCAGATGTGCAGCACAGTGCATGCTGACCTGTAATAGATTAAAAAAAGGTTATTTATTGAAAAATGTAAAACTAAACATATAACCTGCAGTACACTGGTTCTGGTCAGTTTAAAGAAAAGCAGCAGGAAAACTACAGAGAATTTACATTTTTAAGACAAATCTAATCATTATTATGCTTAAGTTGAATAAACAAATGCACATTGAAAACACTTCAATGCTCTTTTTTTAAAAAGCCTGTTTTTTAAGCACTTTACCCCTATTTGATGCAAAATAAGAAGTTCTAAGGTCCAATTTACATTAGAAACATCCTACTGCATTCAACATTTATAATGCATTTGGTTTATATTACTTACATGATAATACACTGTAGAAATGTGTTGTATACATTTAACCAATTCATTCTGTAGCTTAAAACATACATGAAACCATCTAAAGTTAACATGTAAGTCCTGAAAGCTTCTAGAATAAACAAAATTACTTTACCTGAAAACGGTTGTGAACAAACGCTGCTGATGGACATGAAGCTGCTGTAGCTCCTTAATATTCCTGCTCCATTTTCGCTAGCTTTAGCATTTTTCTATTGTGTGTAACTGCCGCCGTGGCTGTGACGGGACCTACGGGCCACCGTAGAGGTGAAGGCTAGACTGTCCGAATTCAGAGTCGCTGACTTACGGTTTTAGTGGTCTTAAAGGACCCAGCCTCGCTAGACCAGCGACGACCAGTACTCATAAGCATCCTACCCGCGGATTTGGACACACCCAGATCCTCATGATTCCGCTCTCAGCTGCACCTCCTAGCCCATTTTTGGAGTTTCTGGGCTTAACGAAGTGTGGGACAGGCAAAGATGGCGACAATCGGAACCGCCCATTTGGTTTCAAACAAACCCTTCTGAAAGCTATGGGTGACGTCATGGGTGGGCGTCCACCATTTTAAGCAATTGAACCTGAAGTTTAGAGCGTAACTTCTAAAATATGTGACGCAGGTAATTCATTCTCCTGGTTAAAGCGTCTTCTTTTGGATGAGGTGAGTTACTGAAACAGTGAACTTCCACAACAAAATCGTTTCCAGACACTAATCCCAACACCTCCGTGTTTCCTGAAAAGTCAGCCTTTAAATCCAGCGAGTGTCTCGCGCTTCTGCCAACAGATCAAAGACGTCACCGACAAACCCAAATAAATAAGTCAAGTTAGCTTCTGCCCATAAAATGCGTTCGTGGACACAATGGAAATATACTTTCGAGCTCACCAGCCGAGTGACTAGATGAATAAAAACATAACCGACTCACCTCCACTCCGAAAGCCGCGCAGCCTCTAATAAACTCGTTAATGTTCCTCTGAATCTCGCCGTCGCTCCTCGGTTCCTGGAAAACCTACAGATAAAAAACAAGAACGTAGCTTCAGACACGTAGTTCAGAGGTCAAGCAGCTCCTAACGCAGGTGTTGGAGAGGCTTCCCGCTTCCAGAGCTCATTTATTCCACACGTAGCTGCTGCTCCGCAGGTGCACTCGCTGCTTCTCAGGATCAAGTCAGCTAATAACTCCCACTTCCGGTTTCCACTTTCAAAATAAAACAAAAAAAAGTCTTCATTTTATAAATATTTCACTTTTAGAAATTTTTACATGAAGTTAATGTACTTGTTTGAAATTTATCCAAACTCAAAATTCAAAAACTCCCCCAATACTAATAATTTATAAGCATAACAAAAAACTTAAAGAAGTAAAGAGCTTTCTAAAGCCTAGTAACAAAACGCTGCTTTTAGACAAATGCTAAATAAACAGAGGATCAAACTCCAGTGACTTGTTAGGGGTTTTATTTTGAAAGACACTTATTTTGATGGTTTTGTTATTATTGTTTTATTTGTGCTTTATTTTTAGTTATACAGAAGATGCCTAGTGAAAAGTTTTTATTCATTCCGTGATGATTAAACTGGCGTGATGTGAACCTGAAACAACAGAGTAACTGAGTAAATTAGAGTGATTTAGATTACTTTTAAATTAAACGAAGGGTCGTCAATTGTAGAAGAAAATAAAAATGTCAAAATCATCTCTGTTGTGCTTTTTTTAAACATCAATATGAATACTTTGTGTTTTCTCAAAGTTTACATGTGTCACGTTTGGCTCATGTCATCATTAAATACGGATTTATTGTGTCCCAGATCTGTTTTCTTTTGTTTATTCCTCTTTCTTTTACCTTATGTTGATTTAAGCTTATATTTTTTAATCTAATCAAACCATTTATGTAGATTTCTGCTTTGCTTTGTAGTTGTTTTGAGAATTATTGTGGTTATTTTGCAAACTATTATTTAAATAGCATAAGAACAATACATAGACAAAGCGCATATACATATCCTTCCATCCATCCATTTTCATCCGCTTATCCGGAGTCAGGTCGTGGGGGCAGTAGCCTAAGGCGAGAGGCCCAGACTTCCCTTTCCCCAGCCACTCGGGCCAGCTCCTCCGGGGGAATCCCAAGGCGTTCCCTGGCCAGGTGAGAGACATAGTCCCTCCACCGTGTCCTGGGTCTACCTTTAGGTCTCCTCCCAATTGGACATGCCCAGAAAACCTCAACAGGGAGGCGTCCAGGAGGCATCCTGACCAGATGCCCGAGCCACCTCAACTGGCTCCTCTCGATGTGGAGGAGCAGCAGGTTACTCTGAGCCCCTCCCGGATGACCAAGCTTCTCACCCTATCTCTAAGGGAGAGCCCAGCCACTCTTTGGAGAAAACTCATTTTGGCCGCTTGTATCCACGATCTCGTTCTTTCGGTCACTACCCAAAGAGAGTAGGTGAGAGTAAGAACGTAGATTGCCCAGTAAATCGAGAGCTTCGCCTTCTGACTCAGCTCTCTCTTCACCACGACAGACCGGTACAATGCCCACATCACTGCAGATGCAGCACCAATCCGCCTATCGATCTCACGCTCCAGTTTTCCCTCACTCGTGAACAAGACCCCGAGATACTTAAACTCCTCCACTTGGGGCAGGACCTCATCCCTGATCCGGAGAAGGCATTCTACCCTTTTCCAAATCAAGACCATGGTCTCCGATTTAGAGGAGCTGGTTCTCATCCCAGCTGCTTCACACTCGGCTGCAAACTGCTGCAGCGAAAGCTGAAGATAATGTTCTGATGAAGCCAACAGGACCACATCATCTTCATAAAGCAGAGACCTGATCCTCAGACCACCAAAACGGATGCCCTCCACACCTTGGCTGTGCCTAGAAATCCTGTCCACAAAGGTTATGAACAGAATCGGTGACAAAGGGCAGCCTTGGTAGAGTCCAACTCTTACTGGGAACGAGCCCGACTTACTGCCAGCAATGCGGACCAAGCTCTGACACCGGTCATACAGGGACCTAACTGTCCATATTAGAGGGCCTGGTACCCCATACTCCTGGAGTACCCCCCCACAGGGCCCCCCGAGGGACGCGGTCAAACGCCTTCTCCAAATCCATGAAACACATGTAGACTGGTTGGGCAAATTCCCACGCACCCTCCAGGATCCCCCTAAGGGTATAGAGCTGGTCCAGTGTTCCACGGCCAGGACGAAAACCACATTGCTCCTCCTGAATCTGAGGTTCAACAATCCGATGGACCCTCCTCTCCAGAACCCCTGAATAGACCTTACCAGGAAGGCACAGGAGTGTGATCCCCCTGTAGTTGGAACACACCCTGCGGTCCCTCTTTTAAAATAAGGGGACCACCACCCCGGTCTGCCAGGCCAGTGGGACTGCCCCTGATGCCCACACGATACTGCAGAGCCACGTCGGCAAACACAGCCTCACAACATCCAGAGCCTTAAGGAACTCCGGGCAAATCTCATCCAGCCCCGGAGTCTTGCCACAGAGGAGCTTTTTAACCACCTCAGTGACCTCAGCACCAGAGATTTGAGACCCAACGTCCCCAGACTCTGCTTCCTCACTGGAAGACGTGTCGGTGGGATTGAGGAGGTCTTTGAAGTATTCTGCCCACGATCCACAACATCCTGAATAGAGGTCAGCAGCACACCGTCCCCACTATAGATGGTGTTGGTAGCACACATATATATATATATATATATATATATATATATATATATATATGATATTTACTGTTTTTTGCTGCTATTTTTGTCACTAAAACCACCTGAGAGGCTATGTTCTATCTTTAGATTCCAAACTAAATAAATAATCAATCACTATTTGGGTTGTATACCCTCCAGCCTTCCCAGTGTACCCACTTTATCCACTGTCCCGGGTCTGATGCGCTCCAGCAGCCTGCACAGCACCACTCCATCCTGCAGAGACGCCTGGAGGAAAGCTTCTGGATCCGAGATGCTTTTCTTTGGAGACTCCAGAACCCCCAGCGTAATGAGCCACGTTACTGTTTGTTCAGCTGAATTCATGTTTGGGTCTCAGTGATGCAAAAAACAGCAAATCCTCCACCTCCAGAGCAGTGGTTTGTCCCCAGATCCACCAAAAATCTCAGTTCTGTCCCATTTAAGCAATAAAACAACAAAAGAGCTGGAACCAAGGCTCCGTCCTGTTCTCCTCTGACAGAGGATGTCGGCATCACCTTGGGATTTTCTGCTCAGCTGCAGCTTCAGACTAAAAGCAGAAGCTAGAGCACAACACTTCCTGTCCGAGTTTTCAAATTAAAAGCCTGTGGAGGCAGTTGGAATTCTGCACCTTTCTTTAATTCAGCTAATAACAGTGAATTCAAACTAAAGTTAAAAACGCTATTTTGAGGTATTTTAACATTGTTTGCTGTAAAATGTTGCATTTAATATTAATTTGTTCATCCATTCATTCTCACAGCTAAATACAAAATAAAATGTAGAAATAATATCACGATGCAATAAAACGTGATAGTAACTAAAGTAAAAATGCTGCTTAAATATATTTTACCATAAATTATCAAAAATCCTTACTGGTGAGTGATAAAGATGATTTTATGAGTTTTAGAAATAATTTATCTGCGTTAATAGAATGAATACATGGTTTTATAAAAACAAGAAATCCATTCAAAAGAGTTGTAAAAAATGTTGCTCAACCTCACGTCATCTGCATATTTTCTTATTCAGGATTGTCCTCATTTATCATTTTCCTAATTTATAAATGGGGAATTGCAAAAAATTGCGTACCATTTCTAAAAAATGTTACATTTTAAATAGATTTAATTGAGCAACGGATTGAAAATGTGTTCTTTGTGCTGATTGTTTTTCAATGTTTCAACATAAAATTATAAACTGATAATATTTTACCAACCATAACATTTGGTTAACTGTAAGTTTTAATGGAAACCAACAGTAAAATTCCTTTTTCCCCAGAAATGTAGATTTTCTTATTATTAAGATGAAAATTGGAGATTAAATATAATTATTCAGAGTTCATTATGTCTGATTCTTGCTGAACTATGATCCTCAACAATGCCGGATAATTTTCTTTTTTCAACATTTGGCTTTTATTTTGAAGTCAAAGCTACCAACTTCCGTTCAGCTCTCTAACTTCTGGTTATTTGACGACAGCAAAGCTTCGGACCGTCCCATTAATGAGTGACTGGTTAATAAACATATTTTCAGGACAAAAATGGTACGATCGCCACTGAGAATCTGAGTGACATTTTTCTGTTTGATCAGATTTATGTTTGAAAACATGTTATTCATTTTTTACATTTACTGAATAATAAATTATCATTTTTTCTTCTTGTTGGGAGAGGATTAAACACTGAAACATGTTAAAAATCAAGATGAATAACAGCCTTTTAGAAACTGCTGAGAAAATGTCTAAGTTTAAGGCTGTTAAACTAATTTAGCCAAATTAGCGTCTACTGCCCCCTGTTGGACACTTTATCTTATAGACTTTGCAGTAGGGACATTAGCTGCAGTTACATAAATTTGTACTAGAATGTTTCCTTACAATTCTATTACATGTTCTGTGTTTGTCACACTCAACATAGATAACCTGAAAAAATACAAAAGGCAGTTTTCAGATGATGATTTCCTTCATTTAGGGGAACCGGCTCTTCAGATCCACCAGGCTTTCAGTAAAAAAGAAATCACTCCTTTGTCAAATCATTAACCGCATTATCACCATAGCCACACCTTAACCTGATGACTTACCAGAACTGTAGAAATAAGAAATCCCTTCATCAGGATCTGTCCAACAAAATAAAAGTGGGCTATCACATCTCAAAAGCACCCCATAAGACCCTGTTACAAAAATATTCAAGAACAAAATGGCTCATAACAACAACTAAAGCTATACGGGCCTTACTTGGATAGGATTTATGTCAGAGGTCATGATTTAACAATACCAACGGTCAAGCATGGGTGTGGTAATGTGATGGTTTGGGGCTGCTTCAGAACCTGGACCACTTGCTGTAACTGATGGAACCATGAATTCTGCTTTCTAGCAGAACATCGTAAAGGAAAACGTCTGCATTTGGGTTGTTCATGATGAAAACCCCTCCAATGTGACTGAATTCAGTCAATTCTGCTTCAACATTTCATCAGTTCTCCCACGGGGATGTTAGAGACTCACTTATGTTGATTTGTGTGAATTTCCCCAAAGATTTCTATCTCTGATACTGAATCTTGCTCTGGAAACTCACAAATTACGAACACAACCCACAAGTAAGGTAAGTTGTACAATTTCCAGACTGACGCGAAAGAAAATATGCACGGATAAAACGTACCTCCTCTGTCCACACCCCAAACCTAGGAAACACATGAAATGAGTCAAAGTATTTCAAGAAAAGGGAAAGTTCATCTTGCAGTCAAGATGTACAAAACGCAACACAGGATGTCACCATGAAGGTGTGAAACATAATCTGTCTTGTGACACTTTACCTCAGCACCAAAGGTGAGTAGCTGAGTCTCAATCTCCTTTAAAGGGGACATATTTTCCTAAACTCACCTTTTGCATAACTTTGTGCTTCCATGAGGGTCCTCACTGCCTCGATAAACACTCTAAACATTAAAAAAAACATCAGTTTTCTGTCAGATTTTAGAAATGATGTGTCTAAAACAAGCCATTTTGAAATTTCCCTTATTGTGACATCACAATAATAGTTTGATTCCATTGCAGGGGCTTGGGACAAGTTGGGGTGGGTCATCGTTGGTCAGTGTAGAGGTTTGCCGGGCAGGTCCAACTGAGAGGAAACCTAAAGGAAGACCCAGGACACGCTGCAGGGACTTTGTTTTATCGGCTGGCCTGGGAACGCCTTGAGATTCCCTCGGAGAAACTGGCCCAAGTAGCTGGGGAGAGGGAAGTCTGGGCCTCCCTGTTCAGGCTGCTGCCCCCATGACTCGACTCCGGAGAAGCGGCTGAAAATGGATGGATGGAAATTTTAAGTTACCTATAAAACTGTTTTATAAACTGGCAATAAAACAAGCTGTGAAACACACCAGAGGAAAGAAATGTAGCCACAATCTGATGTTTGCATCATCGACCACACACGTTCACGCTGAGCCAAAACTTCTCACACAGACTGATGCTTAACAGCACACATCAGCCGAGCTGGGCTCAAAGCTGCAGGTTCGCATGGACACATCACGGCTCTGTTCACTTACGTAAAAGTTTGGTTTTTCTTCACAATGACTTCCTGGAACCGGCTCCTAACGAGGACACAGCAGATATGTTGAAAGATCTGTTAGTGGAAGTGAAAGTGATCTGGGCTGTGCCATTTTGCACGCCCGTAGGTGTGATGCCTGACTTGCGCCACTGCACATACAACAGGAGGTGACACGATGGTTTAATCAGTCATGTCAGCTTGTCTGTGGCTGCTCTTCAACTTCCTTATTCGCCCGTCAGAACATTTCCTCTTTTGGTGGCTGGTGTTGTTCATCTTCAGCCTTCTGAATCGGGTCTTTCTGCTCTTCTGAGCTGAACAAACATCCCAAACCTGCAGGTTTCTGGGGGAATGTGAGAGTTGAAGCTGATAGGACTGCGTTGTGTTGAGTCTTAAAGGCTTGAGAGGATTTCTGAGCCGCAGAGCATCAAAACTCTGGTGAGTGCAACAAGAACGCATCAGAACCAGCTACTGGCCCATGGAGGTTTATGTCAGCCAACATCTTGTGATCGCTGCGTCCAACTTTTGTTTTCCCAGGTGAAATGTTATGAAGGGAAAGGAAGCTTCGGACCGAAAAACTGACAGCCTCTCTGCAGTAGTGTGTGTGTGTGTGTGTGTGTGAGTGAGAGATGTCGGCTGACATCAGAACTTCGAGGAGCATGTCTCTAATCGGCCGGTCAGATTCCATAAATGTGCCTCCCATGGCAACCGTTGGGAAGGTGGACATCTGCCAAGTGAGGATCATCAAAGTTTGTTTCCTTAGCAACAGCTCCAACCTGGGTAAGAACTTCAAACTGGTCCGCTGTGAGGACGGCTGGACGATCAAGGTACTGTCCAACACTGGACTCTGTCCCGATTCACTCATTCATGAACACATTCACTCGCTTTTACCTGATTTTAGGTTAATCTGGCCTGTTCCTCTGTGAGAGGCTGGTATACTTCAATAAGCATCACTGCTTCCAGGATGGCGGACCAACTTTGTAATAAAAGTCTGCAACACTTTAAAGCCAAAGTGGAAAATAAATGCCAAGAATTCTTTGAAGGAACGCGCCTATTCATGCCAGAGTTAGAGAAAAGCTGTTCTCATGACTGTTTTGATCAAAAATGAAATAACTGATTAGCTCTTTGTGTGTGTGCTATAATTAGTGTCACAAAAAAAAATCTAACTTAAATCTGTAAGTCTGAGTTTCGGAGCTGAGTCCGTCATGGCGGCCATCATGTCTTATTCTAACAACTCATCAGCTGTCGAGGCACATCTACGGACTACGCTGAGATTTTCATTTAAAACAAACACAGGCAAAAACATTACTGTCTGCAGTTGGTGATTACAAAAGCAGTCTTTCAGAAGTAAAAATGGGGAAGTATTCATCACATTGTCAAACAATAATTAGTCATAAATAGTGAAACAAAACTCTGGACGTCTGCATTTTGGTTCACTGCACAAAGGTCCTCAAGGGGTACAAAAGTGGCTCATTGAGGACCTGAACTACGGAAGCCTGCAGCTGCCACCCACGCAGAAAAAATAAGTTAGAGCCACAGCACGTTTTTATGTGATGGAGGTCACCTTCACGCCATGAAGTCACTCCTGCATGCAATGCTTCACTTAGGGACCATCAACAAATTCTATGTCAGTCAAATGCATAGACACAAAAAAGTAAAAAAAAAAAAAACAAAAAAACAACAACAATGATTTCTAAGGCCATGTGACCAAAAGATGCCAAAAACCACTTAATTGTGTAACTAAACCAAAAGAATCAGACACAGACGTTAAAACATATTTTTATCTCCATTTTTTTATATTTAAATAGAAAATTATAAACTTTCTTCTCTAGCTTCCAGGTCATGTGACTCCAAAGCATGGGCTAAACCTTATTTGTCAACCATAATAATCAAAATTGAAGAAAAAAACACATGAAATTATGTACCGTACATGTAATGAATCTCTAAGTTCACTTTCACAGAAAATGTTGAACTTTCACACAATAATCAAAATATACAAATCCTGAAATGCTGAGTTTCAACACTCCAGTTAATTAACACAACTGGGCGTTGATTTGGAGAGTTTTGGTCAACGGACCTGAGAGAGGTGGGCTTTTTACGTGTTTCAACAGGCTGATGGCGTTTCTGTCACAGTGCAAGTTTAAAAAGCCGTCGCTGACCAAGGAGGGAATGTCTGTCAGATCCAACTAGACAAACTCATTCCTCCTCCTGCGCAGCCCTGTGTGTTAAAGTTTATTTATTTATTTATTGGCAGCTCTAGGTTTCCGTACGGGAACGGCTGAGCGTTCCTGACAAAAAGGATTTGTCCCAATCAGATTTCTTCTGCTTTTGCTTTTTTTTTTTTTTTGTCTCACTTGAATCCTTCAGATCACAGATCAATTCGAATACCAGACAAAGACAACATGTATAAAACAAAATGTAGTTTTTAAACAATGATTTGATTTAGTAAAGGAACAAAGCTTCATTAGCATCCATCTGACAATGCGAACGGGGCTAAAAGATCTCAAAGGCAGTTCAAAATGCTCCATTCTAAAGAAAGTCAAGAACAAAAGAATCCAAAACAACATCTAATGTGCTGCGGACCTGGCTTGGTTAAGGTCAGAGGTCATGATTCATCCATGATGGAGCTCCAAACAGAAAAACCTAAAAATAGACACAAAGATCTGATTTTATTTGCTAAAATAACGTCTGGATTTTCCCGACTCTGGGTTGTGATGGGCTTCCTGTTCTGCTCTCTCTGAGGTTGGGAGACAGACGAATTTGCTGTAGATAAATGAACACAAACACAAACATTAACCTCACACGTCTGATTTGGGTCCCAGAATGTGATCAGCACTGTGCTGTCCAGCGGCTGCGTGGGGCCAGGGATCACACACAGCCTCTGCTACGGCCTCCTCCTCAAACACCTCAAGTCTTCAGAGATGTACTGGCTGCACCCGGACCTGACTGTGTCCGAACTCACCCAGCGCTACGTGCAGCAGCACCTGGAGGCTGAGTGGAGGTGAGAACTTCTGCTACTTCCTCGTTTGGTTAAATACATTTGATCAAAATGAGAAGTTAGTTAATTCTGACGAGATAATCCAAAAATTGTAAATGATCAGGTATGACCTGAGAATCAGATACATCCCATCTAATTTTATGGAGGCGTTCCAAGACGACAGAACCACCATTCTCTACTTTTACCAACAGGTCAGAATCCTAGAGCAGCACCATCGCCTCTGGTTTTAACTTTCTGATCTAAAAATATACTTTTGTGTGTTAATCAACAGATACGAAGTGATTATATGCAACAATACGCCTCCAAAGTCAGCGATGGGATGGCCTTACAGCTTGGATGTCTGGAGATTAGGTACATTTAGCCTCTTAGGAGATTAAAGGTGTGGAACACCCGTTTAATCAATACATTTAGTAGGAATGAATGCCTTATAAGCTGTACTCTGGGGAAAGAAAACACTGGTGCACCAGTTTCAGGAAGTAGAAACAGGATCTGGAGTCTTAGTTCCTGATATTTGGACATCTCTTCTCTGATTGGCTAACAGCAACACGACTCTACCGCTGACTCTGTTTGCTCTGCAACGTTGATGTTTTATCTTCACAAATAACACAAGCCTGGAGGAGTTCTGCAGTGTGGTGGAGTTGCTAATGCTAACAGTTAGCTTCTGCTAGCTGAGACGCTAAACCAACAACAGCCTTCCCCGTCGTGAGTCCAGATGGGTGAGTCCATGAATGTTAAGTGACAGCGTGACGATATCCCGACTCTTCCTCCAGACTTTGACTGGGGAACCATTTGGAACTCGGTAACCTAAGAATCCCGACCACCAGCAAATCCACCTGAATTTTATCCATAGGACATATATGATGCCTCATAAACTCTACTGTATGAAGCTTAAAGCTGACCCAAATTGTACTTTGTGCCATACTAATTTGGTTTTTTCACCTGGTCTGAGAATGTCCAGCTGTGTTTTGCTTTTGGGAGGTAATCAGAAAAAGCCTAGCCTCCTTGTTTCAAATTGACATTCCCTTGTTGCCTCAAATTTTCTTTATTAACGACTTGTCCCGACTTAATCTGTGCAAAGCACAGGAAAAGGTCTTTTTAGCTGGTTTGACCTCTGGCAAGAAGATGGTTGCATTAAGGTGGAAGACTCCACCCATGGACGCAATTTTCACATCTTTACAGTATGCTCTAATGGGAAACAGTCTTCAACACAAACAGTTGTTTTCTGCTTGGTCCTAGAGCTCAACCAGTGTCAATTTAATATAGCGTAATATTGTTTTTGGATGGTAAAAAGTGCAGGGGTCAAAACTTGACTTTGGAAAAGTGGGGGGACATGTCCTCCCTCCCCCCCAAAAAAAATTACGTCCATGCCTCCTCATTCCCTGTCTCATAGTCAGTGGGTTTTATCTTTTATAGATGTTGCATATCTAGAACTATCTACGGTACGTATACATGGTGCTAAAGAGGAGACCGTTAATCTGTGGAAAAAAGTGGTAGTTGACCTTGAGGCGCTCTACCATGAGGCTGCATTCGACCACGGTGGTGTAGTTCATTTTCATTTGAATCTATGATGTGATGCCCTAATTTTAATTGTCCTGGACCTGTTTGCCCCTTTCTTTTTCGTGACGACGTTCTACTGTATTAAAGTTTTGATGTTTTGTGTGTTACAATTTGCAAAATAATAAAAATTTAATAACAAAAAAGTGACAGCACGACGTAGATCTGTCAGGATTTTCTAATCCTAGTGTTTCACCGTCTGTTTTCTTTCAGAAGCTACTGCAGGAGATTGGTGTAGGAGACTATTTTCATGTTCAGCGTTTATGAAACTCTCTAATGGAGAGTTAAAAATGTTTTTTTGTGTGTGTGTTCCACACCTTTAGAAACGAAACAAAGCTGTGTAACTGTTTAGATAAAGGAGGAATGTTGTCATTTCAGGAGATTCTACAAAGACATGAACCCTAATGGGCTGGAGAAAAAGTCTAACTTTGAACTGCTAGAGTAAGTCAGGAGTTTAATGATCAGAACGTTAAACCAAAGAAACATCTTCATTCTGATGTTGGTCGCTTTAGGAAGGACGTAGGGCTGGACCTGTTCTTCCCCAGAGAGCTCATCGGCAGCATGAAGGTAGCGAGGCTCTAAGGTGACGTTTTTAGTCACACAACAGATTTAACCCTGAATGATCGTTTCTGTGCGGTTGCACCAAAGACCAAACGGCTGCGTGGGCTGATCCAGCAGACCTTTCAGGGCTACTCCACCCTCCAGCAGGACCAGTGCATGGTCAAGTTCTTCACCACTCTGGCTCAGTGCTACAACTTCACACACGAGAGATTCGCTTGTCAGCTCATGGTGAGCTTTCCTCCTGACTCCCAGTCACCGATCGCTAACGAACCCGTCTCTGATTGCTCTGAAGATCGATTATTCTCTGGACGTGTTAAATGCATCCTGACGCACCTGTTTTGTGTTTGTAGCACAGCTGGAATCTCGCCATAGACCTGGTCATCGGAGCTGACGGGATCAGTCAGCAAACTGAAAACTCAAAGGTGATACCGACCTTCTGTCCCTTTTAGCTAATCGCTTTTGTGAAAATAAGCGTGTTTAAACTCTTTCCATTTCCAGCCCACATATCTGGCTAAGTTCTCTCAGGTGTGCAGCATCGCCTGCTCTGCAGAAAGCGATGGCCGGGCTGTTCTCACCGTGCACATCAAGGGGACCAAACAAGTAACCCTCAGCTTCCTGTTTGCTGTTTCTCAGCTCATGCCTTTTGTCACTAAACGTCCACAACTTTCATTTGAGTTCTGATAAAACACAACTAAATATAAACACCTTACTTCTGCCTGCTAGCTGATCAAGCAGCTACAAGCCAACCAACCAACTGACCAATCAGAGAAGGGCAGCTCTTAAAGATTTGAAAAAGCAGGAAAACTGCTAAAATATAGCCTTTTTAAAACAGTTTTCTAAAACGTCCAAAAAGTAAAAAAAATAAACAGATGTTGAGTCTTGCAATAATACTCCAAAACTCAAAAATACACTTAACATTTTTTGAAAGCTTTAATTTCAGGGAGTCATGGTTCCTTTGGTGCAAAAATGGATTTTTTTCCCTAAATGCTTTTACAAATAATTTGCATACATTTATTGATTTCAGCAAAATCCAAATTTCAACCAAAATGTTAATTTCTAGTTCGCATTTAAAGCAGAAATAGTTTTTGCTCTGGATCTGGAGGTCTCGAGGTGGAAAAAAGTTTGCACCTTAAGCCCTTTTTTATATTTCCTTTATTACCGCGAGAAACAATGCCTCTCGTTTGTGAATGCACGCCTCTAGCTAAACAACAGAGACGTTTTACAATTAAGTACATGTAAATCTGAATAAAGACTTCTTGTCCACATGAAAAGTCATCAACTCATCATCAGTCTAGTGTCACGATGCGAGCCAGGATGACCCAAAATGCAGAACCCAGGACGACACGAGGCAGCGGAGATAAAGTAAAACTCTTTTATTTAGGATGAACAAAATAAAAATAAATCCAAAGGGCTGGAAGCCAAAATCCTAAAATATCCCAATACTGAATGGGAGATCCAAAAACACCAGAGACACGAGAAGCTCTGGAAACACTCGAGATCAACGAGACGACACTGACAGAAAACAATGGACCGACAAACATACAGAGACACAGACAAGGTTATATACACTGGGAGGATGAGAGGGAGAGGAACTGCAGGTGTGTGGGGAGAGAGAGAACAGGTGAACTCAATTACTAATCAGGGAGAGGGCAGTGAGTTGAGGAGGAAGAAAAATAACATGATCTAAGACAGAACCTAAAAACAAGAAGAGCCAAATAACTAACTAACAATCTGGGGAAAGAAACACACTAAAAGCAAAATAATTAACTAATAATCTGGGGAGAGAAACACACTAAAAGAGACTAATAAATGAACAGCTGAAACTAAAGGAAAACACTACAGAAAGAGACACTACAGGGGCGTGACTAAGGAGGACCACGGGGAGCACAGGACCTGGAGGGAGATACCTGGGGGGGAAGGAAAACGAGAGGGGCTGCAGCTCTGGGAACACATGAGGAAGACGTAGACAATGACACAAGAGGGCACTAGGATACACAACAGGAGAACCTAGAGACGGATGGAGAACACAAGGAGACACATGAGGGAAGGGGCAGAAAAAGGACACATGAGGGCGCTAGGAGACACAAAAGTAGAACCTAGAGAGGGATGGAGAACACAAGGAGACACACGAGGGGAGACGCAGACGCAGACCATGACATCTAGCTACGTCCTCAAACGCGCCCACTCTGTGGCTGACATCGGTACGTAACGCTATTGCCTAATGCTGCACGGCGCTCAATTCAAGCTACATAGGGATATTCAGGATGGGGAATGGGCTTTTGTTATATCACAGTACAGGGTCGTACTGTCACTTTTACAGATTCCTGAAAAATCAGGCATCCTTCTTGAAGAGGGGACAACTCCGGATTGTAATTTTAACTTAGTTTCTTTACCAAATTATTAAAATACTTGCTGAAGTTTGCACTTTCAGCACAGATATTTTATGCAACTCCGCCCTTGATTATGACTTTCACATTTGGTGTTTTCGACCCTCCAGCCTCTCGAGGTCAACACGTCCTCTCTGGCTGTAGCAGAAAGCATGGCCGACCTGATCGACGGCTACTGTCGACTGGAAGGCTGCACGGTCAGTTCGCTCATAACCAGAAACAACAAAGGTGCAGTGAAAATAAATCAGATTTATAAAATGCTTCATTTGGATGTTCATGGCACCAAATGTTGAAGAAAAAAAGCACTAAAAATGATCATTTTGGTTATTTTAGGTCGAGATGTAAGGCAGAAACTTCCTGACATACCACAGTGGTGAGTTGGATGAGTCACTTTGACTAGTCATGTTGTTTTTTCATCTGTGGCAGGAGTCGGTGGTGCTTTTTAGAAATCAGTATGTTCTGAGCAGGGGCGCCTCCGGAAAATGTTGATAGGGGTGGCCAGATGGGACCAAAGACATTTTTGGGGTGGCACATGTAATTGTATTGCATTGCTCCTTTGTTCATTTTTTATTTTTTTTAAAAAGTATCCAAACATTTTACTAAAATTTTACAAACATTTCAGAAAAATACATTTCAGTTATTTAAAATTTTATTTAAAATTTTATGTATTTTTTTAGTTTAGTTCACCTTTTGCTGTGCTCACAAATAAACTATAGAGATAAAAACTTTTAGAAAATGGTGAGCAGCAGAAACGCATGTATTTTTTTAAATTCTGCTTATTTCTTTACTCATTAGTTGTATTATTTTTTATTTTGGATTACAATTATGTCTTGAATAAATAAGATCAATTTATGGTTAGAGTAAACATTAACTCATTCGCTGCCAGCCGTTTCCTGATCGGTAAAGCCCTTCACTGCCAGCGTTTCTCACTGTTTTTACTGTTTTTCTAAGAGTCACAGAACGTTGCGCGCTAGGACAATGTCGACCCCAAAACAACCAAAACAAAGCAGAGACTCACCCCTTACATCAGGGAGAATCCGCGCGTTTCAAGGATTATCCGTTCTTTCATAATCCATTGTTGAATTGTGATGGGCAGAAGCTTTTTGGGTTCACGCCTCACTTTTTTTTACAGCAGTGGCCCAAAACGGTCTCCTAACACATGGATTTTCTGCTTCCTGATCACGTGACGTGTGACATATGCAGATGAAGATCAGCTTTAGAGCTGAGAAGTTTGTTCTCACGGTGTGGGGATTCGTTCCGACGCCCACACAGTAAAAACATGCAAATGACAACTTTAGTCGTCATTGGCCGTGAATGAGTTAATAGGATTTATTAACACTTTTGCTGGGGGGGCCAGCAATTTTCTAGGGGTGGCCATGGCCACCCCTTGGGGGCGCCCTTGATTCTGAGCCAGTTTTTCTGCGTATTAAACGCGTAACGAGTGTTGTAGCCTCAGCGTTTAGCGGGCTGGATTATAAATCTGTCTTTTTTCAGCACCGCCCTCGCTGGTCTTGACAGAGGCTTAGGTGAGTTCATTTACTTGTGTAAAAATCCAACAATTATCTGAAACCAAGAGCTTAAGCCTGATTCATGCTTCTCCGTCTGCGTCAGTGCGGAGACACGCAACGTCCTTGCGTGCCTGCCGGAGAGCTCCGCAATGACGGACGGAGTCAAGCTCTCTTTTCTAAACATCCGTCAGTCGAGACCATCGTCGAGACGGACAACGCATGCTTGTGATTGGTCAGGACGCCGCTATATTCTACAGCGCTGCCATTGCGCCCTCAAAAACATAAAGAGAGCCGAGGATAACTAGCGGCAGACACAGAGAAGCTTGAAGAATACCTTGCAAAAAAACTAAAACACGAACGTTTCATTCCCCCGTGCCTGGAAGAGTGAAAAGATGCGCAGCAAGCATTTTATTTGTGGATGGAAATGACAGGAAACGTGGGTTTAGAGGTGGCGAGCGCATGAAGAGGTGGAGGAGGATGAGAGACAAATGTGTCCATGTTAAAAGTATCTTATATACAAAAAAACACAATATAAACACACTATCTTGGACCAATACATGACATTATACCACAGAACAGCGCTACGCCCTCTGTTGTCCTGCCGGGCAATTGCTTTGCAACACTCTTCAGCAGACGGAGAAGTATGAGAGCAAAACGCTTCCGTCAATCTGCGTGTGTCTGTCCCTTGCGGAGCTGACGGAGAAGCATGAACCAGGCTTTAATCACTCATGTGGGGTGATGTGTTAAGTTGATAATCTTTTAACCCTCCCACTGTCCGAATGGGTGTGACCCTGTGAGGAAAGTTGACCATTGAGCAGGATTGATGGTCCAGGGGTCCTCAATTATAATGTTCTGAGGGCCACACACAGAAAAGACCCAGAAGCAAGAGGGCCGGGGGGGGGGGGTTGCTGCTGCTGTTTGGATTTCAGGCTGTAATGCACATACCACACAAGCTCGCAATATAAAGGACAACACCTGTCCTCCTCCAACTCGGCTGCGTGACTGCTACCCTCACCATGTAACCCTCATGTCCATGCTGTCTCTGGAGGAGCAGATAGGAGACAAGATCTCCTGTAACTTAAAATGACCCAAAGCTTCCTCCCAGCTTCTCTTTAAGCTGAATTCAACATCAGTTTATCATCATGAAACAAAAGAATTAAGTGGAACAAGACCGGACCTCTCGACATCTCAGCACTCGGTCTGACTGAGCACTTCCAGGAGAAACAATAATGAAATTATGAAAATAATAATGCGTGTTTGGAGGAGCGTCCTCCGATCCTCTCTCTTGTGTGAGCAGACAATCTCTCTCTCTCTCTGTCTCAGTCGCTGATTGAGCGAGCGGAGAGCGCAGCACAACCCACTCAGTTAACATAATTTACGACCCAAATCCAACAGAACCGATCGGGCTGATTCGATTCGGGTTCGGTCTCAGGTTACAACTCCAGCGCTCAGCCCTGCAGTACCACATAAAGGCAGATCAAAGTTTCCTACCCGGTAAATGTGGAGAACACCGCTCTGACAGATGTGGATGCTACGCTGGTGCCGCCGTTAAAATAACAAAATTACATTCCACTATAATTGATTATGGTACTCTTCTATGATGCAAAACCGTTTATGCCCGCATCTCATGCATGGATTATTTGATTATTTTCCTCAGCTCTATCCTAAACCTCCCGGTCGGCCATCGGAGATGGGGGTGGGGGGTGCGCGCTGGGTTTGGGGGCCCACAAAGAGAGGGCTCGCGGGTCGAACGTGGCCCGCAGGCCGCCATTTGAGGACCACTTATCCCTTGAGGTCCATGTGGCAGGGGTGAGGTGGTGCTCACTCCTCACCCCTGCCACATGGACCCAAGGGATAAACCGTCAACCCTGCTCAATGGTCAACTTTCCTCACAGGGTCAGTGGGAGGGTTAAGAAAATAATGAGTCTTTTTCTTCTATATTTAGGTTCTGATATTTATGCTGAGATTCCAGAAAACTCATCACTTTATGATGGTGAGTAATTAGAAAAGTCTGTTGGTTGGCTGATGTGGATCGTATTTAATTACTGATGCAGTCTAACCCTAACTGATATCAACTAATACCAATATATATGCGAGGTTATGACATCACATATCTACTGTATGTAAAGGTTATGTCACTAAAAGTGTAAAAACCAGTGCGGAATATTTAGGATTTCACATTTTATTTCCAACATCGGACATCCCTGGTTTCGACAAATAAAATTAAATCCAATCATCAGTCAAATATTTCCTTGTTTATTTCATGTTTAGCTTCAAATAAGGGGATTAAAAGCACTTATTTAATCATCTTCAGGTACTTTTTATGTTTTTAGATGAACATGTTATCGCCAGAGATGACGTAGTGGTGGGTCGGATCCTTGGTGAAGGATTCTTCGGCGAGGTACACGAGGGCGTTTACAAAAGCCCGGTGAGTTTCTGTTTTATTAAAGAACAAGTCACCCCCTACCTTATTCTTACTCAACTCCCACTTCCTGTTTGAAAAATGCAACAAATGCTGTTGCCTATAGATCGATAGGGCGGAGCCGCTAACAAATACGCACACACACACACACAGTCTCACAACGACATTGTGACATCATATGGTACCACCTAACGTTCTAGGGTACCTCTTAGCCAACAGCAATGGCAGATGTAAATTCAAATGAAGTGCAGAGTTTTTACCTGACAATGGCACAACACTGACAGTTTTAGGCAGAAAATTAAAATTTTAACCAAAATGCACTAAAGTGCAAAACTATTGACTACACGTGTCCGCAGCATGATTAGACACGCATTTATATGTGTAATTTATCAGAAAAAAAAGTTGATTTGAGGGTGACTTGCTCTTTAAAAGATCACCTAAGCTGAGCCTGTCAGAATAACGGACGTGGTCGTGTGTTTGCAGAGCGGCGAGAGGATCCATGTGGCCATAAAGACGTGTAAAGAGTTTTCAGCCGAGGTGAAGGAGAAGTTCCTGAGTGAAGCCGGTGAGCGAGGCAGTGATTGTTTCCTGTTCGAACACCGTCAGGTCCATGCTCCTAGTGCTGTCAGGCTGGTGATGTCACTGTTTTATGTTTATGTTTATTCATTTGGCAGACGCTTTTATCCAAAGCAACTTACAATTTAAAACCTATAGGGCATGTTGTGATCTGTGGGGGGAAACCGGAGTACCCGGAGGAAAACCACACATTCAATTCTATTCAATTTCAATTCAATTTTATTTATATAGCGCCAAATCACAACAAGAGTCATCTCAAGGCACTTCACATAATAAACATTCCAATTCAGGTCAGTTCATTAAGCCAATCAGAAAAATGTTTCCTATATAAGGAACCCAACTAATTGCATCAAGTCACTGACTAGTGTCAGTGACTTTACAGCAATCCTCATACTAAGCAAGCATATAGCGACAGTGGAGAGGAAAACTCCCTTTTAACAGGAAGAAACCTCCAGAAGATCCCGGCTCAGTATAAGCAGCCATCCTCCACGACTCACTGGGGATCGAGAAGACAGAGCAGACACACACACACACGCATGCACGCACGCACGCACACACCAAGCAATGTGTCTATGGTTACATTGTGATTTCTTAGTAAATATTCTATTTGGTGAGAGATAAACTTTATTGTATTTATCCTAGTGGATCTATAATTAAACGGATAAATTAGTAGTAGCACATTCAATGTCAAGGAAAGCAAAAAGTTATTATCAGGAGAGGGAGAATGTTTAAGTGGTTAGCAGCAGTGTGCTAGACGATGGCCCCCTCCATGAGGCCACCACAGCTCAGCAGAACGTTGTTGTAGCTTCTTCTGGGGAGAAAAACACTTAGAGAGAAAATAACGTTAACAGCTAAAATTGCAGAAAATAATACAGTTAAAGAGCAGATTGTAGAAGAAAGTAGTAGAGTATGAAAAGTGGTCAGTGTATCCTCCAGCAGTCTAAGCCTATAGCAGCCTAACTACAGAGATAACTCTGGATAACCTAGCCTTTTTAGATGGAGGCATGTTGGAGGCAGGGCAAGGGAGAGCCGTCTTTACCGACTGTACACTCCACCTCCCTCTACTCCCCCATTTGTCCAGATCTAGGTTAACATCAGATTTTAACCATAGGCCCTATCAAATAAAAATGTTTTAAGCCTAGTCTTGAAAGTAGACAAGGTGTCTGCCTCACGAACTAAGGCTGGGAGCTGGTTCCACAGGAGAGGAGCCTGATAACTAAAAGATCTGCCTCTCATCCTAATTTTAGATATTCTGGGAACCACCAGTAAACCTGCAGTCTTCTTCTTCTTCTTCTTTCGGTCTCTATTTTGGTTTATAGCATTAACATAAAATTTTTCTTATCAAACAAAATAACAATATTAACAGCTTGAATTTAAACCAAAAAAGGAATAGGCAGAAGCAATGCTTATTTTAGCCTACCCTATTTTCCACCTAAGATACATAACCAATATACATTTCTTTTATTTTCCCCAATATAAATAACCACAATGAAAATTCATTAATGTCTATACATACTTTTCATAACCTGTAAATATGTGACACTTAACACCTGCTTTAAACTTTAGTAAAGAAGTACATTTCTTCAAATCATCATCTAACTCATTCCACAATTTCACACCAACAACGGAAACACATCTTGATTTCACCTTAGTTTTGGCTTTTACACATTCAAACATAAATACACCTCTGAGATTATAATGATCATCTCTTGGTTTGAAATAAACTTTCATGCAATTTGGGATATTATTATTAACTACTTTATGAAGAATCTCTAAGATTTTTACTTTAATAATTTCTCCTAATTTTAGCGTTTTAGTTTGACTAAATAGATTATGGGTTGGTTCGAGGTATCCCAATTTATTAACTATTCTAATCGCCTTTTTTTGTAATTTAAGCAGTCAACACACGTTTTACCTGCATTGATTGGTTTTACCACGAAGACCATAGTATTCACATTTCTTAAGCAGGTATGTGTGATCAATTGTATCAAATGCCTTACTCAAGTCAATTAAGACAGCCACTACATTAAGTTTTTGATCCACTGCTGTTGCAATCTGCTCTACCAATTCCATAACTGCTAATGAGGTTGAATGATTCTTCCTAAACCCATACTGATGGTCGTTTAAAAGATCAAACTTGTTGATAAATGCTTCAAATCTAATTACAAAAAGTTTCTCAAGTTTCTTTGAAAACTGTGGCAGTAAAGAGATAGGTCTATAGTTACAAGCTAATAATTTATCACCACTTTTATAAATAGGAATAACTCTGGCTATTTTCATTTGTTCAGGGACTGTGCCACTTGAAAAGGATTTATTACAAATATAAGTAAAAGGTTCAATAATGTAATGGATACTACAGTCTGAGAGTGAAGTGCTCGGTTAAGAATGTATGGAACAATCAGATCACTGATATATGATGGAGCTTGATTATTAAGAGCTTTGTATGTGAGAAGAGGGATCTTAAAATCTATTCTGAATTTAACAGGTAGCCAATGTAGGGAAGCTAAGACAGGAGAGATCTGATCTCTCTTTTTAATTCTCATGCTTGTCCAGCATTTTGGACAAGCTGAAGACTTTTAACTACATTCTGTGGACTTCCTGAGAGTAATGAATTACAGTAATCCAGTCTTGATGTATTAAAGGCATGAACTAGTTTTTCAGCATCACTCCTGGAAAGGATGCTTCTAATCTTAGCCATATTCCGAAGGTGGAAAAAGGAAATCCTACAAACCTGTTTAACCTGGGATTTGAATGACATGTCCTGGTCAAAGATAACACCAAGATTCCTTCATTTGTTCTCGGAGATTAATGTAATGCTATTCAGGTCAGGTGATTGACTAAGCAATTTCCTTTTCTGGATTTCTGATCCAAAGAAACCCTAACCCCAAGGTTCATCAGGGTTAATGGATAAATATAACTGAGTATCGTCAGCATTACAGTGGAAGTTTATGCCATGCTGTCTAATGATTTTACCAACTGGTAACATATATATAGTAAAAAGAATTGGTCCAAGCACTGAACCCTGTGGTACTCCACAAGTAACCCTGGAGTATGAAGAAGATTTGTCATGCACATTTACAAAATTAAATCTATCAGACAGGTAGGATTAAAACCAGCTTAGCAATTCATTTGATCCCTACAACATGTTCAAGCCTTTCTACAAGAACATTGTGATCAACTGTGTCAAAGGCAGCACTGAGATCTAACAAGACTAGAACAGACACAAGATTCTTATCTGAGGCCATAAGAATATCATTTGTAACTCTCACTAATGCAGTTCAGTGCTGTGATACGCTCTAAAACCAGACTGAAATTCCTCAAACAGAGCATTAGTGTTTAAATGCTCACATACTTGGATGGCCACTATTTTCTTCAGGACTTTGGATAAAAATGGAAGGTTAGATATTGGTCTATAATTCACTGGGTCATCTGGATCCAGAGAAGGCTTCTTAAGAGAAGGTTTGATTACAGCAACCTTAAAATCCTGTGGTACATACCCATTTACTAAGGATAGATTGATTATATCTAGAATGGGGACAGTAACCAAAGGAAATGCATCTTTAAATAATTTGGTTGGGATTGGATCTAAAATGCAAGTGGAAGGTTTAGATGAAGCTAATATTTTTAATAACTCTGAAAGCTCAACTGGATCAAAACGGTTCAAACACAGATGAGGTTCTGCAGTTACCTCTGATGCTGCCTCACTTACTGAGGAAGAAGAAATCGCATTAGGGAGGATGCTAAAGATTTTGTTTCTAATAGAATGAATTTATCTTGTGAAAAATCCCATAAAGTCATTACTGCTGAGGGCTAAGGGAATAGATGGTTCAGAGCTATGATTCTGTGTAAGTTTGGCAACTGTACTGAAAAGAAATTTAGGATTATTCTTATTCGCCTCAATTAACGCTGAGAAATAAGCAGTTCTAGTTTGTTGAAGCTTATTTTTATAAAGCACAAGACTATTTTTCCAGGACTGGTAGGCCTCCTCGTGGTGCGTAGAGCACCATGTTCTCTCCAATTTTCTAGATTTTGGTTTTAAAGCTCGTAAATGAGAATTAAGCCAGGGAGCCAACTTCCTAACCCTAATTACCTTCTTTTTTAAAGGGGCAACATCATCTAATGCCACACGTAAAGAGGAAGTAACATGACAAACTAAGGCATCAATTTGTGAGGGGCTAGAAATGAAAATATTGCCCTCTGCTACGTTCCTCTGAGATGCAGAGGACAGTAAAGATGGAACAGTTGATTTAAAAGATGCAACAGCGTTGTCAGATAGAGACCGACTATAGTGAAATTTACTTTCATGTCTCGAGAATTCAGTTATAAAAAACTCAAAGGTTATCAGAAAGTGGTCCGAGAGGACTGGATTATGTGGAAAGATCGTTATTTCCTCACACTCAATGCCATAAGTCAGCACAAGGTCCAATGTATGATGGCAGGAGTGGGTGGAGCTATGTATTCTTTGAGTAAAACCATTGAGTCTAAGATATTACTAAAGGCTACATTGAGGCTATCATTTTCAATATCCACATGAATGTTAAAATCCCCCTCTATAATGACCTTATCAGTATTTAGCACCAAATCAGATACTAAATCAGAGATCTGATCCAAAAACTCAGAGTAAGGGCCTGGTGGACAATATAAAACTACAAACAAGAGTGGTTTTACAGTTTTGCAATCTGGATTAGGAAAACTAATAATAAGATGTTCAAAGGAACTGTAACTATTAATCTGTAAGGGACTGATTAATAAGTCCGAATGAAAAATGGTTGCCACTCCTCCTCCTCACCCTGTACTTCGAGCAATATGATGATTTAAATAATTAGAAGGAATCGACTCGTTTAAACTAACATAGTCCTCTTGCTGCAGCCAGGATTCTGTGAGAGAGAGCAAAGAAATCTGATTATCACAAATCAAGTCATTAACTAATGTAATGGAATTGAATTGAGTTGTTTTTATTAGCTTTATTGAAAATAGAGTTCTTTGGCTTTTAATAAAAGAAAAGAAAGGAGTCTTCATCTTCTGTCTTCATTGCTGGAACATAAACAGTTTAGAAGCGAATGCATGACCTTGAGGCTGTTTCATGCACTCTGGCACTGTGTCAAAGGGAACAGTGGTTACAGGATAATAACCCTGAGAAATGGCTCCTTCATCACGTTGCACTAACAAAGTCTTAGAAAGAATAGATTTAATGTTCAATAACCCACATTTAATTTTTCTAATTTTCTGCTCAGTTTAATTTGTTCTATTTTTTATGAGATTTCCATGATTTGCTTTATTAAGCCTGATATTTAATCTGTGTGATTTTGGCCGTGGGCAGGACACTGTCTCTATGGGGTAGTGGGTGGGTAAGAGTACAGAAGCTGCAGAGGGGTGTGTTAAACTACGACTCTGCTTCCTGGTCTGGACCCTGGGTTGTCATGCATGCATGGGGAAGAACATGCAACTCCACGCAGAAAGGCCACAGCCGAGTTTCGAACCTGCGACCTTCGTGCTGCAGATGATCAGGCAGATGAAGCAGGCGTCTAATTAAATCAGAAACAAACGAGTCGACTGGAGGGAGGGACACCACAGCGGAGGTCTACTTCCTGCTGTTGTGGTTTTGTGCAACAGCCACTGTAAAAACGAAACTCATATTCTGAGTTAGAATAGAACATGCCACACTGTATCTGCTCCTTCAGGGTTTTATTTGAAAGATTCTCCATCAGCTCTGGTTAAACCCGCCATCACATAAAGATGGCTGCTCTCTGGTGATCAGAAGCTTTTTGTTGGTTGGTTGGAAGAGCATGAGAATGAGCTTCATGAATGAGTTCATGTGAATTAAAGGTCAGGTAGGAGTTCCTGGAGAGAGCTGGTCTAGCAAGTTACAATTTGAAATGACACAAATTAAAGGTCCAACCCATTATCTTCAGGCTCCACCCCTAGCCACGCCCCCAGACTGCAGGACAATGCTGACCATGGCAGATGCTTTCAGGAAACCATAAAAACATAATGTTATCTTACTTATTCCCACTGTTGTTCGGACCTTTTGTGCCATAATCCCTAACATAGCACACCCAGGTAAACGTTTAATAATTTACCATGCTAGCTAATATAGCTAGCCCAGATCTGCCCTTGTTTCCTGATCAGCTGTTCCCAGCTGAAAACGCTTAATTTGTGCACATGGAGGGATTTTTATGATTGTTATCGATATGTGGAGAGCAATTTACGCTATTTCTAAAGGAACGTCTGCAGTCCTGACATTAAAGTTACGGGAACTTTAAAGAGCCGTTCAGAAAATGGGCGTGGGGAACAAACTTGGGTGTAAGAAACCAAAATAAATGTCTGGAGACCGTCTTCGCAAAACAAACACGGTTGTTGAACAAGAGGAAAACAGTAACGGTAAAATTGTTGGACTTTTTATTGTCATGCATGTTAAATCTCCTTGTTGGCGATGTTTGGATGGCTAAAGTGACAAAAGATGAAATGTTTTGGAGATTAAATCGTGTCTGTTGCAGATCTGATGAAGAACCTGGATCATCCTCACATCGTACGTCTCATCGGAGTCATCACCGTGGATCCGGTTTGGATTGTCATGGAGCTTTATAAACTCGGAGAGGTGGATTTTATACAACTTCTGTAATCAATTACGTTATCATTCAAAAGCTAATGCTATTGGTAGTTTTTGCCTTCATGCACCTTGATTTGTTTGAAAGCATTGGTTGCAGTGAAAGAAGACATTTATGTTTCACTGACAGCTGGGGGACTACCTTGTGGAGCATCAGTACGTCCTGAAGACGGGAAAATTAACTCAGTTCTGTCTCCAAATCTGCAAAGCCCTGGCTTACCTGGAGGGACTCAACATGGTGCACAGGTAACTTTTTATGTTTTGCAACCATTTCTTTTAAAAATGAAAATAAGTAACAATCCGTCTGAGTCTGTTTCACCAGGATCTCACCAATTTGATTAATTCCTGCCTTTTCTGCAGAGATATAGCTGTAAGAAACATTCTGGTGGCTTCTCCTGAAAGCGTGAAGCTCGGTGACTTTGGCCTGTCTCGATATGTTGATGATCAAGAGTATTACAAAGGTACACACTCACCTCATCACAAATTGTCCATAAAGATCCATAACAAATCTATTTTAGAACATTTTTGTTGACACATTTGTCCTCTGTGTGAAGCCTCAGTCAGTCGATTACCGATCAAATGGATGGCACCAGAATCCATCAACTTTAGACGCTTCACAACAGCCAGCGACGTCTGGATGTTTGGTGAGAAAAACATTTATTCTTTGTTCCTACACTTGTAGGCTTGTGTTCAAATGAAATATAATGAACTTTTATTCAAACTAAATGATCATTTATTACATATTTCTGGGAAATCTACCTTACAAAATGTTTTATTCCTACATCTAAATCTAAATTAATACCCAAGGGAATCATAAGAAGAGGAAAAATTGTCTGTTTTAATGTGGGGATGCTAGCTGTCAGTAAGGCGGCAGGGGGCTGATGGCTCTGGCTCCTTGCAGACATTAAGTCCACGAGAAACTCAGTCAAGTATTTCATCTGTGTGACAGCTGAAGCCTGGACTGAGTTAGGTCATAAGCAGCAGATCTTTAAAGATCAAGTTCACTTTAAAGATCAAGTTCACTGGAAAAACCCTAACTCTGATTCTAACGGGTCACTCTGAGTGTTTCATGCAGGCTGAACATGAAAATAGTCTCCTACACCTAGCATTAGCATTAGCTTCTGATGGAAAACAGACGGGCAAACTCTAGGATTAGAAAATCCTGACAAGATCTACGTCACACCGTCACTTAACATTCATGGACTCACCCATCTGGACTCACGACGGGAAAGCCTGTTGTTGGTTTAGTGTCCAGGAAGTAGAAGCTAACTGTTAGCATTAGCTACTCCACCACACAGCAGAATTCCTCCAGGCTTGTGTTATTTGTGGAGATAAAACATCAAAGTTGCAGAGTAAACAGAGTCGGTGGTAGAGTTGTGTTGCTGTTAGCCAATCAGAGGAGAGAAGTCCAGTAATCAGGACGTAAGACTCCAGATCTTCTGAAGCTACTTTTTCCTCCGGCTGACTTCTACATCCTCAAACAGGCGCACCGGAGCTTTTTTCCCCAACATTGTCTTGTTGTGATATAACAAGTGGGTTATTTAGTCTACCAGAAACACCCATAGTGTCCATCGGTGTCCTCACACTCAAGTCAGTTGTATCTAAACCAGGTGTGTGTGTTTGGGAGATCTTCTCGGTGGCCCAGCAGCCATTCTCCTGGCTGGAGAATGGACAGGTGATCAACCAGCTGGAGTCAGGTGTTCGTCTGTACAAACCGCAGAGCTGCCCACCCACCATCTACTCCCTGCTCACCCGCTGCTGGGCCTACGAACCGCAGGGACGTCCCACCTTCAGGGACCTCGTCTGCTCCTTCAGGTGTTCACACAAGACTTGTTAAACACCTCATGAACCTGTAGATGTTTCATTCATTCATACTTTTGTAATTAGATATGAAATATGTACATAAAAGTGATTATCGCAGATAATAATTTAGTATTTGATAGTGAGATCCACAGGATGGAGTTGGAGCGGGAAACCAATAAACGACAAGAAAGACCCCGCTCCCTTTTCAGCTGCGACCACTTGGATCCTCCCCCAAAGGTATGGCTGGAGAGCACCACGCAGATACGATGTTCAGCTGATTTTAGTCAGCAATTAGAAATGGATGATTAACCGGCATCAAAGTCGTTGTCGGCCGATGTTTGTGATTCTTTAAAATATTTCATTGGTCCGATGAGTCATTTGCATGCCCTGCGTGAACAAGCGGGAATAGAACATGGATGGATGCCATTTGCACGTGTGTTTAAGGAGAGAGGAGGGGAGCTTGCGGCATGTGTTTGGTCATGTGACAATAGATAAGCCTCTTCCATAAAACAATGCTGCCAATGTGCTGCAAAGCTGCGCCGGCATCAGGGAGCCTTAGTTCGTTTATAAGTGTTCAGACGGTGGCAGTAGTGTGGTGCCATCTTGTGCTTTTTACAAAAGATTACGCAATGGGGGTACAGAGGGGGGTTTTGGCGGTCTCTGCGTTCCATACACTTCCTTTTAGCTCGGACATAAGTTGCTTTTTTTTGTGCGATTGAAACCTCGCTCCTTAAGGTTTTATGACAAGCCGCTCCTAAACGCCCGTCCTCCACAGTCCTGGTGAACATTCTGGTGATCTGAGCTCCTGCTCTAACGGAGAGAAGCTCCCAGAGCTCTGAGTCACTCTAGTTGACCTTCTCAGCTAACAAAAGCGAACTTGTTTGTTTTCATTTTCAGTAGTCGCCAACCAGGGATCTGCAGTAATTCCACACAGGATCATGACACCACCCTCTGTTGCACCAAGGCCTAATCTAATATCACGGTAATATTACTACCAAGCTTGGCGGCACTGAAGCTGCAAAGTTCCTGCATCCCCATGCCACCACAGCGCTTAGGACATGCCATGGTGGCAGGAACACACTGATTTGCCAGCACAGTGAGTTATGAAAGCGGATCCCTGGTTGGCGACTACTTCAGCCGAGCTCAGCGCAGGACTATGGAGTCTTTAACTGAAGGAAGGAATCACTGTACGTGTTGTGGTCACTTTTACGATAAATATTATCGGCCACAACACAAGTAATCATTTCAGAAATTGACATCAGCCAGAATTTCCAAATGGTACATCTGCATCTTTACAGCTGTGGTTACACTGGAAGAGTTCAGGGAAACTTTTGGAAGGGGGTAAGGTGACACAGACATACGATGGCTCGGTCCTTTAACGACGTTCCTAAGACCGTTTTGGTGGTGAGTGACATCATGGATTAGCACCAAAAGGCACCCTCAGCCAAAGATGGACATTAATAATACAAAAGACGTTTAGTTCTGTAAAGGTACGATGTGTTGGGCGACGTTCAATGACCAACACTCTGGAGGAGTTTAGAAACACGATTTTAAAGCAGCGTCCATCTATGCGGCGTATGTTCTTTCTCCTTGGCCAGCAACTCTTCCAGTTTTGGTTGGTCGTTAGGTGACTTCAGCCGACATGACTGGGGACTAATTTACAACCAGTCAGCATGAGTTAACCAGGAGTCCCGCCCAGTGACTCTCCCAGGCAAATTCTGAGTACAAACAAGTACTTGATTGGTTCTTGAAATGGTCTGGAAAGTGATCTTCTTGGACGGTCATTGTACAAAGGAGATCATGGGTGTGGCGTGGAGGTCCGGTACATTTACCCAGAATCTTGATACACTGCAGCACGAAGAGCGTGAACGAGCAGAACTGGTGCTTTGTAGAGCTCATCAGATGTGAAATCCAGTGAATATCAGATTTGTGAAGCCTGAGAGAACGTTACAGACAAGCATAGATAAAATGGCATTTGTCAAGATAGTAATGATCAGTAATTCTGTCAGCTTCCTGTGGTTTTGGTGTCTCTGTGCTGCTGAAGCTGTACGGACAGATAGTAGTGCACAAAATGTCCCTGCATTTTCAAGATCTCCATTTTCACTTCCCTTTAACTTTTACAAATGTCTTCTCATCCCATCAGCCCTCCAGAGGTCCTACCAACACCCTCCTGCACAGACAGGTGAGTAAACACACACACACACACACACACACACACACACACACACACACACACACACGTACCTTCATTAGAAAGCTGCCCTGTGCGTTCCTGTACATGTTCACTGCCCCCTGGTGGAGGATCTGCAGATGACAAGGGCCAGTTATATTTCTTTAATGCTGTATAAATAAATGATAAGAAAACGCAGATTGTATATTTGTTATAGTAAGTTTATACAAAATATACAGTTTTAAAACTTGAAATATTTAAAAAAGTTATCAATACTTCAGGCTTTAAAACATTCAATGATACTTTTATAATTTTTATTTCAAAAGAAAGTAAGTTTGAAAAACTAAATAAACATCTAAAATAAAAGATGTGCTCAAAGTGTTTTATAAAAGAAAACTGTGCTGTTATTCCAGTTAGCTTCTAGAAAACAAGCAGAAGCTGCAGAAACCCACAAGAGAGCAGAAATAAGTGTGTGTGTGTGTGTGTGTGTGTGTGTGTGTGTGTGTGTGTGTGTGTGTGTGTGTGTGTGTGTGTGTGTGTGTGTGTGTGTGTGTGTGTGTGTGTGTGTGTGTGTGTGTGTGTGTGTGTGTGTGTGTGTGTGTGTGTGTGTGTGTGTGTGTGTGTGTGTGTGTGTGTGTGTTCAGAGCTGGGGGACAGAGAAAGTGGAGGACACTTTACTAAGACAAAGAAAGGAGATGCTGATGGACAGAAAGTGGCTGGAGCAGGAGGAGGGACAGCTGGTAGGAGATGCCTTTTCACGTTTAATTCATGGAAATGTATCATATAAAGTTTTATTATATTATTGCTGTTCTCCAACAAGCAGTTTAATTAAAACCCGTATTCTCCAACTAATAGTAATTAAATGATAGAAAACTATTTCACATTTGGTCCTTTTTATCATTATATGAGTCAAAGAAAATGGCTCTGAGCTAAGAAAAGAGTTTTGTTTTTCCAGAATCAAGAATTTATTTTACTTCCATGAGTGAACTTTGTGTTATTTCTATAAAGGAGGTAAGTTGCACTAAACTGGATCCTGTATTCTTGTGTGTGTGTGTTTGCAGAACCCTGCTGTGCGGCTGGATACACCACAGAAGAAGGTACGCATATTTGTTTTAGGTTCACGATTCTCATTATGACCACTAGAGGGCAGAAATTCACATGAAACTTCCTCTATCAGCTACATCTGCTGCTCTTTTTGTCTTTACCTTCTGGGTTATTAGGGTTACCCAGAAGGTACCCTTGCCCTCTGAAGAAATCGAGGACGTCTTTAAATGAAGTGGCACCAATCTTCAAACAGTTAATAATTTGGATTCTTCTTCACACAATAAAAACCGACTAAAGGAGCAATATGTAAAATAATTTTCACTGCGAAATAATGCAAGTCTGGTTTCCTGTTAGAAGATAGATTACCTCAATATATCAGCTGGCTAACATTGAGCTAGCAGCGCTAAAGGGGAATTAGAAACAAATACAGGACTGCCAACTCTCACACATTTGAGTGTCTTCACGCTCTAAAGTCACACCCCCAATTTCTCACGCTGAAAAAAGGTAAATCCATCACACGTTGTGTCGCGCTACTGTACATTCCCCTAGCTACAACGCTACAAGTTCAGATTTAAATTCACCTTAAATGAGCAGAAAGAGGGAAGAAAACCCAAACACAGCTAAAGTAACTGAGTAGATTAGTTTTTTCTTTGTCTATAAGAATTAGCCACCTGTGTGCTATAAGCTAACGAGTCTAAATGTGACATAACTGTACATAAATATACATGAAAATAAATTGTTTTTTCCACATTTTAGACATTTTTTGCTCATAATTAACATTTATTTTGCCTTAATTTCACTTTTGCCAAACCTAATGGTCCTAAGGTTGGCAACTCTGCAAACAATCAGATCTAAAAACATCTGGAGCTGCTTTTTCAATTACGAACAACTCAATGTGATGGGGAAATGTGTGTGTGTGTGTGTGTGTGTGTGTGTGTGTGTGTGTGTGTGTGTGTGTGTGTGTGTGTGTGTGTGTGTGTGTGTGTGTGTGTGTGTGTGTGTGTGTGTGTGTGTGTGTGTGTGTGTGAAGGGAACAATGAACCAGTCGTGGTGTTTTACTTCCTTTGTGAGTCATTCAGAGCTACAGTAGATGGTAAACAACCACACTTCCTGTATTGCTGGAGGCATATTACCATAATGAGTCTAGTAAGTGCTGCCAACTGTAAAACACCCGGTGTGCTGTATCTACTTATCAGCTTACTGTGAAGGACTCGTCTTTACTTGTCATCTAGTCTTCTGGCGCTGACCCGGAACTGGGAACAGCCATTAAACTCACAGAGCCGCCTCGCCTCTGTCAGTGTACCCCAGGGCAGCTGTGGCTACATCGTAGGTCATCACCATCAGTGTGTGAATGAGTGTGTGAATGGATGAATGATACACTGCAGTGTAAAGCGCTTTGGAGTCCTTACTCTGAGAGGCACTATACAAGTGCGGGTCATTTATCATTTATTTAGTGAGAGTTACTTTTAGTTTTATTTTTAAATGGACTGCAGTACCCAACTTTGACCACAGGATGTCACTCTTACATAATGCACATTTAAAGGACACATGAATCTTTACTGAGCTAGTAGTGAATGGTAACCTCTAAAGTCTGAACCAAAATGCTTTCTTACCGCGTGTTTGTGTTTGACAGCCTCCGGAGAACAGCCCAGAAAATGGTGAGTCCACTTTAACAAACGTCTGAATTCATGTTTTATTTTACTAGAATGTGGCAAAAATGGTAAAAAGTTAGGGTGTTTTAAAATAAAATATGTAAAAAACAACTTGCTGTGTTCCAGATCCCCCAGAGAAACCCCCAATGCCTGCTTTAGTCTCACAGGTGGGTTTGACCTTCAGAGGTCACAGCATTTTGTGTGAGTTGCTCTGAGAGGTGAGAAGGGTTGTGCTGTTGCAGCCTCGACCCACGGCTGAACTGGACCGGTCTGGTGATGAGGTCTACACCAACGTCATGGCGATGGTGAAGCAGGTGGTCCAGCTGAAGAACGATGTCAGCTCCATGCCTGCTTCTGAGTATCCCAGCGCCGTTAAGGTGCCTCCACCACTCTGAGGGTTCCCACCTTAGAAGCAAACATCTCAGTTGTTCCACTCATCCCCATCCCTCCCTGTTCTCCCTGCAGTCCGTGGGAATCACACTCCGCAGCCTGATCCAGAGCGTAGACACGATCCTGCCCTCTCTGCACAGCTCCGTCACCACCGAGGTTACTAACAAATCTCCCATAATTCAGACCAGATTCAGCAGCTTCAGATGATGAAAGTGGTCTCCTTCCCGTTTCAGATCGAAGGCACTAAAAAGCTGCTGAACAACGATTTAGGGGAGCTGATCAATAAGATGCGACTGGCCCAGCAGAACTCTGTGACCTCGCTGAAGGAGGAATGTCAGAAGCAGATGTTGGCAGCTGCACACACACTCGCCCTGGACTCCAAAAGCCTGCTGGATGCTGTGGATCAGGCTCGAGTCCGGGCCAACCTGGCCAAACCCAGACCCGCCTCACAAGAGCCCAGAGACTAGAACAGGACGTGTGGAGGAACTTGTCTCAGGTGTAAAAGGATAACGTCTCGCATTATGTAAAGTTTATAATTATTATTCTTTATTTTTATCATAAAACTTGTAATGTTGCAGGTTTATTCATCTGCAGCGTGTTTTTTTAGCATTGATGCATTGAAGTTGTTTCTGCAGGCAGAATTCTCTAAGGTGAACTGAAAAACATCGATTAAAGGTTGTTTCTGTTTTAATTATGTTTACAGGTGAAATGTTTTTTTAGTAACAACCAGGAAGTGGTGCACAGAACTGTCCCGTATAGAGCTGCAGTTCAAGGAGGATGTCAGAAGCAGATGTTGGCAGCCGCTCACACAATCGCCCTGGACGGCAAAACATGAGCCGCTTTGTTACACAAAACAAAGTAGCAGCATAAAGCTGAAATAGCATAAACTGCTAATGTCCAGCTTTATTTTATCAACATGAGCATGAAATGAAGGGAAGTTTTAGAGTGTTTTTTAAATAAAGAAAAGCATGTTTCGAGAACGGTGCCCTGTGGGACGACTGTGTCCTTTCAGGACTACAAACTGAAGAGAGAGCGGGTGTGTCGGGGATTTCCGCTCTCCTCATGTCCAGAGGAATTTCTGCATGTAACTCCAACCAGACCAGTTCACTCATCACAGTCAGATGATTTTTAACCCATCATGTCCTGTAAAACAGTCAAAGTTTAGAGTGATGATGAAAAATGAGTCGTTTGGAATAAAAACCTGCAGGTTTATCCTCTCAGGTGCCACGAGAGCCTCTCGCAGAGACATTTAAATAGGAAAGAATCCAATCAGCTGATCACACACACACACACACACACACACACACACACTCAGGGTTTAGAAAAAGCAGGTTGCAACGTTTGCCTTGAAGCTGATTCCAGTCTCTCTGCAGATGTTTGCAACGTATTTCAGTCGAATCCAGGTGTTTGGTTGTGTTACAACAACAGTCATGGTAACCAGGTGAGCGTTATCGTGCACATCCACGTGCACGTACCGATTAAATCAGCACAGAGTGGTTGTGGCAGCGTTTGGTCCAGCCAGAGTTGCACGAGAGATTAGAAGAACATCCCATCTATGTAATTATTATTTTTCGGGAGGGGAGCTTCTGCGTACCTACAGCCCAACGTCTCTACACCCAGTCCAGGCGGAGCTTCCTGTCTGCACATACGAGCTGTGTTTTCTAGCCGCTCCTCAGAGATCGGATCAGCTGCAGCCTCAGACCTCACAACTCACCTGTTGAGAGTCCAGGTGAGTGTTTGGCATCTTGAAGGTCATCATCTGACTGAATCTGTGCTGATTTACAAACGGCCACTGGCCTTGCCAGGAAACGCCTCAGAAAGATCAAAGAAGCTTCATCAGCTAGAAAACGAAAGAAAAGAACAAAACCTGAGAAAAAGACAAAAGTAACAGGAAAATATTTTAGTTTTAGATTCATCATCACTAAATATTTGTGGATTTAGACAAAGCAGCTAAATACTAGTGAAATGAATCAGGAAGCAGCCGTTAGTCACACTGGTGGGATAGGTCCGGTTAGAGCTGAGGAATGTCTTCGGTCATAATGGGAATGTGGTTCTGGAATCGAACAGAATAGAATTATTTAATAGCAAATGACTGAAATAAAGCAGCTTATAAATGAAATATAGTTCAAATATTTAAAAACATATAAAACTGCAGAAGCTCAGGAGGAAGAGCGGGTCGTCCAGGAATCAGAAGGTTGCAGGTTCGATTCTGGCTCCGACCAGAGAATGCTGCTGTTGTGTCTTTCAGCAAGACACTTAACCCCCCTTGGCTGCTGGTGGTGCGTGTGTGTGTGTGTGTGTGTGTGTGTGTGTGTGTGTGTGTGTGTGTGTGTGTGTGTGTGTGTGTGTGTGTGTGTGCATGTTTGTTTTAGTGTGTGTGTGTGTGTGTGTGTGTGTGTGTGTGTGTGTGTGTGTGTGTGTGTGTGTGTGTCTGTGCATGTTCATGTTTGTTTTAGTGTGTGTGTGTGTGTGTGTGTGTGTGTGTGTGTGTGTGTGTGTGTGTGTGTGTGCGTGCGTGCGTGTGTGTGCATGTGTGTGTGTGTGCGTGCATGTTCATGTTTGTTGTAGTGTGTGTGTGTGTGTGTGTGTGTGTGTGTGTGTGTGCATGTTTGTTTTAGTGTGTGTGTGTGTGTGTGTGTGTGTGTGTGTGTGTGTGTGTGTGTGTGTGTGTGTGTCTGTGCATGTTCATGTTTGTTTTAGTGTGTGTGTGTGTGTGTGTGTGTGTGTGTGTGTGTGTGTGTGTGTGTGTGTGTGTGTGTGTGTGCGTGCGTGCGTGTGTGTGCATGTGTGTGTGTGTGCGTGCATGTTCATGTTTGTTGTAGTGTGTGTGTGTGTGTGTGTGTGTGTGTGTGTGTGTGTGTGTGTGTGTGTGCGTGCGTGCGTGCGTGTGCGTGTGTGTGTGTGCGTGCATGTTCATGTCTGTTGTAGTGTGTGTGTGTGTGTGTGTGTGTGTGTGTGTGTGTGTGTGTGTGTGTGTGTGTGTGTGTGTGTGTGTGTGTGTGTGTGTGTGTGTGTGTGTGTGTGTGTGTGTGACACATTCTTAAACAGTAACTGTAACAGACAAACCCAATCTCACTTACTGGAAGAGTCCGTTTATTGTCAGAGATAATTCCTAATCCCATCAGTCGTACTGTTTGGATTGGACACAGCTGAACATTTTTCTCTGATCCATTGGTCATCTGAGGCCTGTGGTAATAAAATATATCCTCCTCTGCATCCCTCTGATGCTCCAGGGGAGTCGGGCCTGTTGGGTTAGAAGAAAAACAAAATTCCTCTGATAATTTGGGTTTCCTTCAGTGGGATGATGTTCTGGTTCTTCAGGTTCTGACACAAAGAGCAGCCAAGTGTTTCTACTGTAGGAATGAGAGGTCTTGTCCTCTCATGTCAGCGGGTGTTATTTAAGCTGCTTTATCCAACTACACATCCGTTGCACAGCGTTGTGTAAAGACAACGAGCATCAATTAAGAGTTTTTTAGCACTTCTGATTGAGCTTTACACCCAGCTACAGCGGTGAGGAGACCATGCAGACAGGATCAGAACCCAGAGATAAAAATCATGGATGTGCTGAAACCCCACAGGAAAAACAAAACAGATGCAAACCTGTCAACAAGGAATGCAGAATTATGTGTCTGAGGGACAACGGGCAGCAGGAACATCTTTTCTTCTCCAGGTTTCTGACAGATCAGCATCTTTGCTCCTTCGAGGTCCAAATATGTTATTTGTGACTTCCTGTTTGATCGCAGGATGAAGAAGATTGTCCTCGACGTGGACACTGGCGTTGATGACGCTCAGGCCATCATGATCGCCCTCTCCTCCCCAAATGTGGAGATTCTGGGGATCACCTGTTGCCATGGCAACACTCCCTTGGACAACGTCCTCAAGAACACCCTGCGAGTTCTGAAAGTCTGCAACAGGCTGGATGTAAGACTGCATCGCTCTTTTCTCCGTGTGGGCGAGCCGGTGTGTGAGACGGTTTGGTCTTTTTGTCCCCCAGATTCCGGTTTACAAGGGAGCGTCCAGGCCCATCCTGGTCAAAAAGCGGAACGCTGGAGATTATCACGGAAAGGACGGGCTGGGGGATGTCCCAGAGTCTGACGCTACAGGTCTGGAGCTTCTGCAGAAGAAGAAAGCTCCAAACGCCATGATCAAGTACGCGCAGCAGAACCCTGGAGAGGTGAGGATGTCCAAACTCCGGACGGCTAAAATAAATAATAAAATCCTGAAAAAGGTCACCTGTACCTCTCCATCAGGTTTATGAGGAATGTACTAATCCAGCTAGGGAGGCAGAGCTCTCCCAGACAAAAACCCTTCAGGGCGAAATCTGAACTTTTTGTATGAAATAACTCTTTTTTTTCTTCTGGAAGGATGTCCTTTGTAGTTGATTTGGGGGAATTTTTAAAACTTCAATATTTTTTTTCTTGGATGGAAAAAAAGCTCCGGTGCACCTGTTTGAGGAGAAAGTAGCTTCAGACGACCAGATCTGGGGTCTGACTTCCTGATATGTGGACATCTCTCCCCTGATTGGCTAACAGCAACACAACTCTACCACTGACTCTGACTGCTCTGCAACACTGTTGTTTTACCTCCACAAATAACACAAGCCTGGAGGAGTTCTGCTGTGTGGTGGAACCGCTAATGCTAACAGTTAGCTTCTACTAGCAGAGACGTTCTCTGCTTTCAGAGTCCGTGAACGTTAAACTTAGAGTGACCGATCACTTTTAGTGAGCCTTTACACTAGGCATGCACCGATACTTGGATCTGAGTACTCCCCAATACCAATACTGATACTTCTACCACCCAAAAAATATGAAATGAATTGGAATACAGGTTTTATTTTCTTCTCTAATTTCAACAGGAAAAGTCGGTGAGTTAGATAAAAGTAAAATATGTAGCCTTAGCTTTAGCAACCTCGGTGTACTCCGGCTGATGACGGAGTCTCAGAAGTTTTACCTCCCCTGGACACCTTATCCACACAGCTCACATGCTGTTTGACCCCCTGGGTTTTATTCTGAGGCAGCACTCCTGAACCCACACTGTTACTCTTTAACTCAGCTGCTCCCCCTAGTAGTCAACATATAAAACTACAACAGAATGAAAAGTCACAGTGAAGCCACTGTCCGGCAACTGCATCGGTATCGGTTAACTTTTAACGAGTACGAGTGCATGGTATCGGTATCGGTGCGTCCCTACTTTACACTCTACCCCTCTTTAATAAACAACAACCTAAAAACGGATCATTAAATAAACCTTTTAAGACAACAAAGTACCGGTAGTAGTTGTGTGCTGCTGTGTGCAGGTGATCCTTGTGGCCACTGGACCCCTCACTAATCTGGCTGTCGCCGTGCAGCTGGACCCTTCCTTCCCTAAGAAGCTAAAGGCGCTCTACATCATGGGAGGAAACACTGACTGTGGGTTAATTTACCCTAAAATATTAGATGCATCTCTTTAATTTTCTAATAGGCCGTGGTGTGTGTGTGTGTGTGTGTGTGTGTGTGTGTGTGTGTGTGTGTGTGTGTGTGTGTGTGTAGCCAGGGGCAACACCACTGCATGTGGAGAGTTTAACTTTGTTGCTGACCCAGAGGCGGCGTACATCGTGTTGGACCGGTACAACTGTCCCACCTACATCGCTGCATGGGAGTTCAGCTGCAGGAGCAGCCTTCCATGGGTGAGCACCAGTCACGATGCCATTTTAGTTCTGCTACAGCTTCCTGTCGAAAACTCATTTTTGGCGTTTTCATCTTTCAGTCGTTCTGTGACGAGTGGCTGGCTCAAAAAACGGCCAAAGCTGAATTCATGAGGAAGATTTCAACCCTTTCAATGAAGGTAGGACCAAGAGAACCGACCTCTGAGTCAGCTTTGACGGCACGTTGTAGGTATCGAGCTGAATCACACCACGAACAACCCTGCAGCAGGTTCTGTAGAAGTCGATTATTACTGGATTATCCAGACTATTGGAAGTTCAGACAAAAGTACGACTTTTTCAGAAGGTTGAAACTGAAACCAACAAACGCTGAAGTTTACTCTGGTTTTAGCTTTCCGCTTCACCTGCAGAGAAGTTTCTCTCTTTCTTTCACTTCAAGCTTCACCATGATGCCAAAAAAATACAAAATTCTTCTTCTTGTGTTTCGTACTGGCGGTCGGCTAACTGACAAAAGCTAACTGGTAGCATTTCTATGAGCTACCGGTGACACGGTAAAGCCGTAAAGCAGGCAGAGGGACATCTTCTTCATGGCGAACTGCCTTGTTGACTGATCACTGCAGCAGTGAACGCGTCACTTTGCTCTGATTGGTCCTGGCGCCGTCCGACTGTGCAGACAGATGAACAACCGCAGACTCCGCCCCTACAACTGGGTCATGACCAGACTACACATTTACACGTATAGGAGTTCCACCAGAGTTCTTTAATGCTGTTCCACGTGAAGCTGCTCGTATTTCTGGCTAAGGAACCGCTGAAACCAGTTTAGTGGAACTAGTTGATATAACTTGGTAAGAAAGGTCAATGTGTCACTTTTTTAGAGTGTAAATGCTCCCAAACATCCTGGTTTCCTGTCTGCAGAAAGCTCGATCACCTGAATATCAAAAGGAGATCACTGCAGGAAAGGGCTTCAACCCCTGCGACGTCTTCGCCTTAGCTGCTGCCGTGGACGACGGGTTCATCACCGAGAGCGAGGAGGTGAGCATCCTCCTCTTCTCTAGCCTGACTCAGCCTCCAAGCGTTCATGAACCGTTCTAACCTTTAAGGTGGCGGTGACCGTGGAGCTGAACGGGACGCACACCCGAGGCATGATGGTCCTGGACTACATGGAGCTGCTGAAGAAGGACCACAAGGTCTTCATCATGAAAACCATGGACTTGGAGAAACTGAAGAAGATGCTGATGAAAGCCGTCATGTAGATGCTGAACCAAAACCATCCAAATAAAGGAGATCAACAGTTTGTGGACGTGATTTTTTAGTGTTTCAGACGAGAAGTTATGGAGAACAACTCCGGATTCATATAAAACGTGTCACTGTGGTTTATAAACACAAAAGGTTTTAGTTGATGCTTCAACAAAGTTTTTATCCTGAGTTCATAAAAAGATGAATATCATTAGAGTCTGTGTAAATCCAATCAGGTTTTGGTTAATTTCAGGATTATTTTAGAATTTAATCTGTGCAAAATACATATTTTCTGTTTTTGATGTTTAGTTTGAACCCGTTAGCCCTAGCATCTAACCCTAACCCTTTGACTGCAGAGCTCATACTCAACACAAAAACAAATGTTTTTCTCTGAGGTTTAAGTTAATAAAAGCTTTTATTCAAAGTGTTTGGAATGTACACTCACAGGGGAAGAAAGAAAACAGATGGCTTTCGTCGTTTCTCCTTTAAACTCGCCACTAAGCAGGAACTTTTTTGTGTTTTTTATTTAAGAAAACTTAAATCAAACCGATCCTCGTAAAAAAGAAAAGAGCCTCGTGTGTTTTTTACATCCTTAGGTCTATTTACAAATCACACAAACAGAATGTTGCTAAAAGTCTCATCTGTCTTCTCGTTTCTGCAACTTGACCAAACTCCTCCCAGTTTAGCGACTGGACTCCAGTTCACCAACCAGACCAGCACCAGTTCACCCAGAGTCAGCCAGGTGCTGACCGACAGCAGCTGCAGACGGATTCTTACGGTCCAGGATCAGCATCCGACCAGCTCCTACTGGACCCTGTACTTATAGAACCAGCACAGGCCGCGCGTGAAGTTCCATCCCAGTGAGACGGAGAGGATGTAGAAGAGGCCGAGCAGAGCGAAGGGGTAGAGGAGCACCACGGTGTTCGTCAGGAAGGGCAGAGCTGTGGGAATTCACACAGACACGACAAATATGTAAACTAGTGAGTTCTGCTGATCCGACGCCCAGTTTCATTTAAAAATGTCTGACAACAGAAAAAAGATTCTGTTTGTTTTTTGTTTACTGGACTTTTTGACCACTAGATGGCAGCAAAATTAAGATGATATCTTGTGTAGCTTTGGATTTAGTTGTACTGCAGGTAAAACTACAAATTTACTGTTTATTAGGGTTGAGCATCGTGAGCCAGCTAACCACAGGGCCTACTTGATGAACTAATCTTAACTTCAACATGAATTTTAATTCTATGAACAATAACATCACCTCCATTTAGACAAAAACTTGTTTTGGAGAAAAAAAGAAAAAGACTTGCAGCACAGCCAGTGTGTTTGTTTCTGACCATAACCAAAGTCTGGAAGAAGCCTCTGGGATGAGAGGCTAAATGTCTCCAACATATCCATGGTAAATGGCCTGTGTTTGATATAGCGCCTTCTAGAGTCCTGGAACCCCCCAAGGCACTTTACAACACAATCACCCATTCACACACACGTGGTGATGAGCTACTATGTAGCCACAGCTGCCCTGGGGCGCACTGAAAGAGGTGAGGCTGCCGAGCACTGGCGCCACCGGTCCCTCCGACCACCACCAGCAGGCAACGTGGGTTAAGTGTCTTGCCCAAGGACACAACGACAGTGACAGACTGAGCAGGGCTCGAACCTGCAACCTTCCGATTACGGGGCGAGCACTTAACTCCTGTGCCACTGTAGTTATCCAGAAACATGCAGCTGTTTTCAGCTAAAACTCTCAGGATGATCATGTCCAGGATGACTGAGAACTACACCTCCATGCTGCAGCAGCGTTCAGTCAGAACAGGAAGTGAAACTTAAATGTAGCTGCTGTCAGTAACAATCTAACAGGATTTAAACATTAAAACTCAACAGAAATAGTTCAGAAAGGAAATTAAAATGTTCACAGCTTTGTGTGTGATTTATTATTATTATAATTATTTATTGTGGCAGAAGCTGGTGTGGTCCACCACAGAGAAGCTGCTCTAACATGATGACTTTAATTATTCTACTGGTTATTGTTCAGCCTTCTGACGCTCACACACACACACACACACACACACACACACACACACACACACACACACACACACACACACACACACACACACACACACACACACACGAGTGTTGGTGAGCGGCTGTGTCTGACTGCTGACGCTCCGTGTGTGTTTTTATTTCTGCAGTGAGACAAACTCGCCTCACACCGTCCAGAGTTTGTTCTTTAAAGCTTCTATTAAATCCACCGTGTTGACGTATTTAACACGTTTCCTCTACGCTGCAGGAGGTAAAGTTTACGTTGCGGAGTAAAAGTTCAGCAGACGCGTTTGTTTATATCTGGGTGGGGGGAGGGGCGACTCGGTGCTGCACACAGACAGCTGGTGTGATCAGCTCTGAAAAGCGTTGATCACAATTTGCAGATCACGCTTATTTTTCTCGGAGATCGTCGGTGGATTCCTCTTCCGTCGGCATTCTAGGAATCAAAATAAAAAACTGAACGATTCTGGGAAAAACTAACAGTTGCAACCGGTTCCAATCGATGCCCAACCCTACTGTTTATCTTCTAGAAATTAACCATAAATATTTATTTTTCTAACAAAAAGTTGTGTATTTAGTACAGATGTATGTTGTTTACGTGGGAAGGTTCTCCAACATTAGAGATGAGACTTACTGTTGTATCCTAGGAACGTGATGTAGAGATAATAACCGATGGCGATCATCCACAACGTGTTCCCAACAAAATAACCCAGGAACCAGTCAGAATTTATTACCACCACATCTGAAATGGAAATGAGAAACAATGCTGGATCAGCTGCTTGTTTGTAAGCCAACACCATTGAACACGAAACAGCGAGCTCACGGTTGATAAAGAAAAGCTGCAGGAAGTGCAGAATGACGAGAAGAGGGTAGAAAGCGTTGAGGTGAACGTCAAACGCGTAGCCCCACTCCACGTCAAAGTTCCTGCTGGGATGTTTCAGCAGGTATTTGTTGCTGATGAACCTGAACGAGAAAAAGTTAGTCTGAAATTTAGATTTGGGTACCCAACTCATCAAGGGAATCCTAAAACTCACCACATGAGGGTTGATATGAGCAGACCGACTCCTATGCAGTCGACAAAAACCACCCACAGCAGCAGCTTCAGCGTCTCCACAACCCCCATGTCCAGCACAAGACCAAACCCCATCGTTGACACTAAACAGCCAAAACAGACACGAGCATGAATAAACAGTCTTTCACTCCTGTTTTATTCAGACTTCCAGATAATTATTGAACTATAACAAGTTTTACCACACAGCCAGATGCTGAGGAGGACCAGGAAGGCAGGATCATCCCTGGCCCACTGGTCCTTGGTCTGTTTCCTGTAGTGGAAGTTGCGGTAGACTCTCTGCGGTGATGTGAACAAGTAAAGCATCTGCCACATGGCGAATTCAAAGTCCATCTGCCGGAAATGGAGCAGTCGTCGTAGGTACTTGTAGCGCTTGGCTCCAGCTGTGTGGCGTGCAGCATCCCTGGAACCGAGGGAGCCATTGCTGTGCTGCGAGGTGGTTGGCAACATGGCGCTTGGAAAAAAACAACCAAACATTTCAACGAGTCCTGAAACAGATGCTGCTTGTTTACAATCAGATTCCTACTTTTTAAAAGTAACCTGTGCATTTTGAAATGCGACAGGGATTAAATCTGCAACTGGTCAAAGAAACAAACAAGTCTTTAACGAAACCACCAGATTTACAACATGGCAAATGAGATTACTGGATTTATAATGATAGATCAGAAACTCTGTTAAAGTTCATTTTAAATTATCACACCCAGGTCATGGCTAATGTAAACATTAGCTTTGCTTTATCGTCTTTATCACCGTCTACAGAAGTGTATACCAACAATACCAATAAGTAACATTAAGCGTGTAATGATTCTGACAGGAAATCTTATAAACAACAATAAATTCGTTTATTTTACTGGATTTAAAACAAAGTAAACACAAACAGCAGCAACCTAAACAACCATTACTGTATTAACGGTCCGTTAAAATCTCAAATATCACAAATACGTCAAAGAACTGACTGTATGTGGGGCAATATCAGGAAAAAACTTTTAAGAGACCACGAAAGACTAAACATTCGCTACGTCGTTCTGTAGCAATGCTTAGCTTGTTGCTAACCACTCTGATAAACGAGAGCCTTTTGGGGGGTTTTCAACTACAAACTTCTCCTGAACACAAAAGCAAAAGTTTACTGGAAAAAATAACCCAATTATTGTCGTAAGAAATACCTGCTTTTCTAGTGATTCTTTCAAGGAAAAAGCTCCAGCACGTCTCTGTTGCTGTTTGCAAACACTTCCTGGACAGTCGCTAAAGTGAACACGTAGAGACTTCCGGTTAACGTCCAAAGCATCATGGGAAATGTAGTCAAGGCTGTCAACGCGCTTACGGAGGATGAATTTTCAGATTGAAGTAATAAAATAAAATAAAATTCAGTAAACCTTTTCAGCTGAAATAAAAAATGTATGTTAACTATTTAAAAAGAGAACGAAAAATATTGAGAGAGGCGGATTAAAAAAATATTTGGGCACTACACCAAATATGTTTATGTTTATGTGTATGTATTTAGCAGACGCTTTTGTCCAAAGCGACTTACATGTGATAATCGGCATGTTGCCCTTGAGGCTAACAACAACAATAACAACAACAACAACTTGACATCAATCATGGAGATGAGGGAACAAGGAGTGGACAGTAGAGAGGGGGACGGGTGCAGGGAGGGTGCTAGATAAGAAGATGCTCTCTGAAGAGCAGGGTCTTCAGGAGTTTCTTGAAAATTGAAAAGGAAGCCCCTTGTTCTGGTAGTGCTTGGAAGGTCATTCCACATTTGTGGAACGATGCATGAGAAGATAGATTTAAAATATGTTGGTGCACTTAAATAAACTGTATTTGTTAAGTCTTTACGATATAAAATACATAACCTATTATGACTTTTTCCCCTCATTGTGGCTTTAAACTCTTATTGTGAAAGTACCAGCCTTTTATTTTTGAAAGGAGGTGGGACGCCTCGGCATTTCCGCTAACGTCTTAGCTATTGTCATCGGTGAGCTAATAAACATCCGCGCTGTTCTGGTCGATAAGGCCAAATAGCACCAGGTAAACCCCGATTAAGTGTTTTAGACTGAATAATGCGCAGAATATTTAGTGTCGGGAGTGTAAGGCAAATAAAAAACGTGGTTTCAGAGCGCTTGACTTCAATTACCTTCAACTGTCCGTGTCCTTGAGTGGGACTGTTAGCTAATGCTATTAGCCTGTGCAAGACGCACGCAGCCTTCTGTTTGTATTAAATCCAATTAAAAAACCATCCTGCGTAACTTTTAATCCGTCTGTAAACACGCTAAACTTGTCATTTTAGGGTGTGTGTAATATAAATATTTATGAAAGGTTATCATTTTAATCAAAGGGTTACAAATACTGTTGACAGCAGCGATCCAGGCTTTGTTTACGATTTTGACTCTAAACGAAGAGCTACAATATTGGAGTTGTTAGCTTAATTCTTCGAGATTTTTCAGCTTGGTAGAGGTACCAGTGAATGTAGACAATTTTATTCCTTAGGTTAAAAGGCACTTTTTGTATCTTCATGTTTATTAGTGATGCAAAGAGGTTTTTGTCTCATGTGGATTATCATCAAACTCACAAAAAGTGGGCCATGTGTCGAAGGAAATGACTAGAAATTTGTGAACTTGGCTGAAGATGTTTTCAGATTTTATTCAACTGAACAAACCGTTTGTTGAATAATCCTAACAGTGTTGGACGTTAAATGTGAACATGTAGTCAGGATCTATGTTTCCGCTTACAGCGTCATGTTACGACTGCCATCAGTTGGCCGAACTCTAGCCGGAGCTGCCAAGGGCGGCCTGGCTCCTGCAAACCCCGGTAAGACCGTGCTTTGCATGGTTTAGGAGTAACATTTTCTTTTTAATAACACCTGAAATGCAATTTTATTGGCTTATTTTATTAAAACCTTTTGCATGCTTGTGAATATTTTAGTGCGTGCTCCTGCGCGTGCTGCCAGCAACATGGTGGAAGTGTTTGTGGATGGGAAACCTGTGGAGGTGGATCCTGGAACTACAGTGCTGCAGGTGACAAACATCAAATCTGTTCTCTACACTAACAGCCTTGTGTGTGCTACAGTGTTTGGAGCTGTGCGTCCTTGCTTCAAGTATACATTTACTTCCTTACGTCCTTTCAGGCCTGTGAGAAAGCAGGAGTTCAGATCCCCCGCTTCTGTTATCACGAGCGCCTCTCGGTAGCAGGAAACTGCCGAATGTGTCTTGTGGAGATTGAAAAAGCACCAAAGGTAATGTTCACCAGACTTCAATAGACGTGTGATTTGTTGGAGGTGTTTTAAGCGTCGATGTGTTTTGCAGCCAGTAGCTGCCTGCGCCATGCCCGTAATGAAAGGCTGGAACATCCTCACGAACTCAGAGAAAACACGTAAAGCCAGGTGCAAACTCGACTGATCACATGGTCCACTAACCCTAACCTCAAGATTCTAGTAAACCAACGTGTGTTTTTGTAATAGAGAGGGAGTCATGGAGTTCCTGTTGGCCAACCACCCTCTGGACTGTCCCATATGTGACCAGGGAGGAGAGTGTGATCTGCAGGTACGTGCTGAGATGTGGTAGACAAGCAAGCCTCTACGGTTTTTACCGAAACCGAGACAAACCCGCATTTTGTTTCCAGGATCAGTCCATGCAGTTCGGTTCGGACCGCAGCCGTTTCTCAGAAGGAAAGAGGGCCGTAGAGGACAAAAACATCGGACCTCTCATCAAGACGATCATGACTCGCTGTATCCAGTGCACGCGCTGCGTCCGGTGAGTGAGCTGGCACGGCGTCTGGTGTTTGACATCATGGAGTTCTGAACGGGCCTGTTAGAGTCCTCCCGTTTGTCGTTGCAGTTTTGCCAGTGAGATCGCTGGAGTTGAAGACCTGGGAACAACAGGAAGAGGAAACGACCTTCAGATCGGGACGTACGTCGAGAAGATGTTCATGTCTGAGCTGTCGGGCAACGTCATCGACGTCTGTCCCGTTGGAGCGCTTACCTCCAAACCCTACGCGTTCACCGCACGGCCATGGGAGACCAGGTAGGGGCGGGTGCTTGTGCTCAGAGCCCACTGCCGTTGTTTTCCAGCAATCGGTAAAGGCTTCTTTTGCATTTGCAGGAAGACGGAGTCGATCGACGTGTTGGATGCTCTGGGCAGCAACATCGTAGTGAGCACAAGAGGAGGGGAGGTGATGAGGGTGATGCCCCGGCTGCACGAAGACATCAACGAAGAGTGGATCTCTGATAAGACCAGGTGATGCACGAAACACCCAAACCCTTCACACGTCTGAAAGATAAACATGCAGGCTGACCAGCGTGTGTCCACAGGTTTGCATACGATGGCCTAAAGCGGCAGAGGTTGACCCAACCACTGGTGAAGGATGGCTCGGGTCAGCTGACCCCGACCAGCTGGGAGGAGGCTCTGACTCGTGTAGCAGGAGCAGTAAGTGTGTGTGTTTCTGCATGTGTGTGTGTGTGGGCGTTGGCTACAGCCGTGTGTGTGTCTGTAGCTTCAGAGCGTGCGGGGCAGCGAGGTGGCTGCTGTAGCTGGAGGCATGGCGGACGCCGAAGCTCTGGTCTCCCTCAAAGATCTCTTGAACAGGCTGGACTCGGAGAACCTCTGCACCGAGGAGGTCTTCCCCATGGCAGGAGCAGGGTGAGCAAGACTCCCACATTTCAGTCATCATGAGCCTTGGCAACTCTTTTAGCTCAGTGTTTGTGTCCATTTCTCAGCACCGACCTGCGCTCCAACTACTTGTTGAACACACGCATTGCCGGCATCGAGGAGTCTGATCTGCTGCTGCTGGTGGGCACTAACCCTCGCTATGAAGCTCCTCTGTTCAACGCCAGAGTCCGCAAGAGGTAAACACCCGTTAGACTCGCTTTTCAGCTGACTGTTTATCTTAATTAACATATTTCCTTTCTTTTTGGCCTCAGCTGGCTGCATAATGAGCTGCGTGTTGCCATGGTAGGTCACCAAGTTGATCTCACCTACACGTACGACCACCTGGGAGAGGAGACGTCCGTGCTGAAGGAGCTGGCTGACGGGACGCACCCCTTCTGCCAGGTGATGATTGTAAACCTCAGTCTGATTGTTTCTCCAGATCATTTCTCTAAAGAGATCTGCTGCTCTCTGCAGGTTCTTGCTGCAGCGAAGCGCCCGGTGGTGGTCGTCGGCAGCAGCGCGCTGCAGAGAGAGGATGGAGCGGCCATCTTGAGCGCCGTCTCCACCATCGCTCAGAACGCCAGAACCAGCAGTGGGGTGGAGGACGGGTGGAAGGTCCTCAGTGTCCTGCACAGGTGTGTGAGCTCATAACGGGGTTTGGTGGATAATGCGAGGAAGATGTTCTCACTTGTGTGTGTTGTACAGAGTGGCCAGTCAGGTGGCTGCTCTGGATCTGGGATATAGAGCCGGTGTGGACGCCATCAGGAAGAATCCGCCCAAAGTTCTGTTCCTACTGGGAGCCGATGCTGGCTGCATCTCCAGAGCCGACCTGCCGAAAGACTGCTTCGTCATCTACCAGGGTACTCGCGCAGAAACACGCACACACACACACACACACACACTTCGTCCTGCTGAGTTTATGGAAATCTGTCTTCCCAGGTCATCATGGTGACATAGGAGCAACCATGGCGGACGTCGTCCTGCCTGGAGCCGCGTACACGGAGAAAAACGGGACCTATGTGAACACTGAAGGCAGGAGTCAGCACACCAGGGTGGCCGTGACTCCTCCTGGGATGGCCCGAGACGACTGGAAGATCCTCAGAGCTGTGTCTGAGGTCAGGATTAGGTCACGCTTACATCACTTCCTGTGAAAATGGAACACTTATTTCAACAAGTCCCATCTGTTTGCAGCTGGCTGGCGTGACGCTGCCCTACGATTCCCTAGACGAGGTCAGATCGAGGCTGGCTGAAGTCTCTCCTAACTTGGTCCGTTATGATGATGTGGAGGGGGCCAACTACTTCAAACAGGCCGTCGAACTCGCAACGGTAGTCACGGTTACCTCTGCTGTTCCAGACCGTTTCCCTGGAGCTTTTCCTGAACGTTCTTTTTGTTTTCAGATGGTGAACCAGGACCTCATAGCAGCTCCTCTGGTACCTCCTCAGGTCTCTGCCAAGGACTTCTACATGACTGGTAAGTCCTGCAAACGCATCACGCTCACAGGAAACCACCCACCTAACATGCCCCTGTGTTTCAGACTCCATCAGCAGGGCTTCCCAGACGATGGCCAAGTGTGTGAAAGCCCTCACGGAGGGAGCCGCCGCCGTCGACGAGCCGTCCATTTGCTAAAAAAGCCCCACCCCTCCGAACTGTCCTCAAACGCAACACGAACGCAGTTGCTCATTAATTTAAAGTTTTCCTTTCCGCTTGTTGTACTCAGTGAAGTGACTTCCAGCAGCTTTGTTGAATATTACTGAGAAATATAAATAAAATGTAAAGACTTTACCTCAGAGGAAGGTGTGTTTATTATTCATACCTTCATAGTTTTCAGTTAGAAGTCTAATTTAAACTCTTGACTTTCACAAAGAGGTAAAAACCTTTATGTAAAGTGTGTGTTCACCAGGAAGACGACAAGCTTTATCTAAACATCTGACTTGTGATGTTATAAAAACCTTTAAAGATGGAGATCACGACTGGATCCACAGAAAGCTGCTTTCTTCAGACCTGAGGAGTGGAGAGCCAGAAGCAGACTTCCTGTGGGAGAGATCACTTGTTAAAATAAAAATCTAACTCAAACACACTGTTGGGGTGTCTGACTGACTTGTGAACTTTCCAGACTGCTTTTCTATGGAACTAGGATTGGGACAATATGGCATTTAACTTGTACCTAGTTTTGTAACTGTAACTTTTGTAACATGTAACTATTTTTTTATTATGTAATTCTCGTAACGTGTAACCGGTACGTAACATGAAACTTTTGTTTTGTAACTTGCTGAAAAAAATATCAATGTACAACTTTCAAATCACACACCTCAGTCTACAGTTACAAAACTCAAGTCTACAAGTACAAACTGGGACGTAATTTTGGGGGGGGGGGGGGTGGGACATGTCCCCCCCACTTTTTCAAAAGGCAGTTTTGGTCCCCTGCACTTTTTTCCGTCCAAAAACAATATTACGCTCCATTAAATGGATTTGGTTGAGCACTAGGACCAAACGGAAACCGGTTTCCTATTAGACCCGCCCAAAAGCTAATCTATTGGCTCTGCTGATACTTGCTAACGTATTATTGGCTGTTGCTGCTGTCACTCAAGTTGGAAACAGTCAGAACGTGCTCACGTTGTTATGCTAGTTTGGAGCCGCTAGGGAACACCGGTACTGAGTCACATCGTCAACTAGACGCTGTGTAATATCAGAGCTCAGCTCAGCTTCCATTACATAACATTTGAATAAGTGTTCATTTGTGAGTCTTTGGTAGTTAGGCACAGCCAGGAGGCAGCATGTCAAGAAAACGAAAAGTGGATATAAGAGACTTCTTTCAAAGTCAAAACGTAAGTTGGACATGTGACACCCCTGCATTAAGCTCAGACTCACCTCCTCCTTCACAAACATACTCAAAACTAACTTTTACAAACTCATCTCCTCCACATAACTGACTCCTCAGACACAATTTATTCGTATTATTATAATTATTGTTTTATTATTATTACTATTATCATCATAATTATTATTACTAGTAGTAGTGGTAGAAGTGTAACTTCAAAACTTTTATCATTTAACTTTATTGTAAACTTATCTGTTGCAATGTATATGTTCACATTAAAAAGCTCTGAAAAATGAACAGTATCATCATCGTCAACAGATTTTTTTTAAGCTTAATGTCAAAGATGTACACTTTTCATTAGATTTATCTTATTTTTTCCATTTATTTTTTGTGTGTTGAAATGCAACAACTGTTTAAACACTTTTAAGGGAAAAAAAAACATTTAATATGTTTTTATACACTCAAATGTTAGGGTGATGATCATGTGTAAAACATTAGTTCAGCATGTCCTCTAACACAGCAAATGAACAAACGGCCAGATCTCAGGAGGGACCGTTTATGTATAAATAATTTTTATACTTTTGACTAGGCCTGGGAAAGTAACAAATTTTCCTGGACGATATTTTGTCCAACAAATTGTTGATGATAAACGATATCATTGTCAACATTATCTAGACCAAAATAACCACTAATATAATGTTAATATATCATAATAATGCAAGTACACCCTTTAAAATGCAACAAATAAACCTTCATTTAACATTGAAATGTCCAGAACCAGAACTTCTAAATGAATAAAAATAACAAACAAAAATTAAATAAAAAAGGAATCTCACTCCCTGTTAGAAAATGTTGCACCAAAAACAATAAAAAAAAGACCCAAAACAATAAATACAATGGCCTATCCATTGTCAACAGCCAAAACTGCACTTCAATAATGATAATAAATAAAAATAATAATAGAGTTGTACATTTTTTAACTTTGATATATATATATATATATATATATATATATATATATATATAGAGAGAGAGAGAGAGAGAGAGAGAGAGAGAGAGAGAGAGGATGGAAAATTATTGAGATGGGCACGTGACGTGTCAAGGGGTCTTTACATAACACCCCCCACCCCAAATCCGCACAAGCCTGCTGTGTCCCCCCCACTTCTGAAATCAAAATTTCGTCCCTGAGTACAAAATATTTTGTCCCGATTCCAGTTTGCTTCCAACAGAAATTGTCTTGGACAGGAATCCAAGACTCATGATTGGCTGGTCAGTCTTAGCCTGTCATTGGTTCTTTGGGAAGGAAGCTAGAATTGGAACAAAATGTTTAGTACTTGTAGACTTGAGTTTTGTAACTGTAGACTGAGGTGTTTGTTTTGAGACTTGTGATTTGAAACTTGTACACTTGATTGTTTTCTGCAAGTAACAAAACGAAAGTTTCATGTTACGTGTTACAAAACGAAAGTTACACGTGTTCCAAATCAAGAATTACATGTTATAAAACAAGTTACAGTTACAAAACATGTTACAAGTTAGAAAGCTTGGTACAAGTTACATGTAATATTGTCCCGATCCTAGTTCCATACTCTCCTGGCACCAGAAACAAAAACAAAATGCCAGCGCTGCTCAGAAACCCTTCCACGAAAAGCGTTTGTCTCTTTAAATCCACCAAATGTTCTAAGCAGTAAAAGAAAAACCAGATTATTAATATTTTGGTGATTAGAAAGAGCTTCTTATTGCTGCTTGTCTGGTTCAGGGTGTGATCTGTCATAGCTACACTGCAAAAACCCATTTCTAAGAGTAAAAAAAACTCAGTTTTAGACATTTTATTGTGTTTTTATTCTAAAATGAAAAAAATTTATATTAAAAAAGCTTTACTTAAATAAGGTCAATATTCTTAAATAGGATCCAAATGTTCTTGTTTCGACTAACCTGCCAATGGGGTAAGCAGATTTACATCTTAAAATTAGATAATCCTGTCACAAGTTGTAAAATTCTGGCCGAGCAACTTTTGCTTTCCTCATTGGCAGATTTTTAAACTCAAAAAAAGAAAATGTGGCTCGTATTTAAAGGTGTGGTTTAAAACGTTTTTCGTGTTCTCCAGCCTTAGGAGTCATTTAAAAACTAAATCCATGATGCTCCTGCAGGATTAGTCGTTATTATTAACTTTTATTATTATTATTATTAACTGCCATTGTTTGTGAACAGTTTTACTGATTTTTGAAGAGTCAGAACATTGCGCTGTATGACCACGTAAATGCCAAATCTACCAAAAGAAAGAGTTGGCCTAGACTCACTTCTTACATCAGGAAGAAACAGCGCGTTTCTAGCCTTTTCTGTTCTTTCTTAATCGTGTTGAAGTGTGAGCTGAAGAAGCTTTTCTGGTTGGCGCATCGCTTGGGGCATGGCAGCGTCCCAAAATTATCTCCTGATTCATGGATTGTCTGCTTCCTGATCAGGTGCCCTAATCAGCATTAGAGCCCTGATGTTTACTCTCGAGTCTACCCCGTTAAAAATACGGTGAATGAGCTGATGATAAGCACACACCTCACTTCTGATTCTCTACAGAATGCATTCAGCCATGTTGCAGTCACTATCACCAAGACACTATTCGTTCTCTTTACTCGCTGCAATAACATTTTTATTTTTTAATTTCTTGTGGGCAGGCGCGAGCCAAGATGGACGAGGCAAATTCACAGTGTGACGTAGATCTGTCAGGCTTTTCTAATCCTAGAGTTTCACCGTCTATTTTCTATCAGAAGCTAATGCAGGAGATCGGTGTAGAAGACTATTTTCATCATAGGCGGAGATCCCAGGGGGGGCGGGGTGGGACGCGTGCCTCCCTCACACAAAGTTGTCCCCCCCACCAAAGTTATTGTAAACACATAAATGCTATCAGTAAACCTGTATTGTCTTCTAAAACCACAAAGTAAAAGTTACCGTAAATCCTCTAATATTAGCCTGCATTTAATTAACGGCCGGGTATCACATTTTGGCCGGTGTCGGAGTCGGCGGAGGTGAATAATGGCCGTTTTTTTGTGGCCGGGTGGAATGTGGTAACAAGCGAGGACGGGGGGCGGTTGTGTCATCCGTCTCACTTTTGATTTGCCAGTGATAGACCGCGAGGGTAACTTTGACCGTGCGGAGACGAAAAGGAGGCGAAAATTTGATATCAAGTTCAAAGAGAACGTGCTGATTATGCTGCAGAACACTCTGGGGAGCAGTAGGGGTTGTATGAACTAGTCACTAGTCGACTTCACCGCTCTATAGTGACTTTTTATGCCTTTCATCGACTAGTCGCTGTCATGTGATAATGACCGGCAAGATGCAGTCCACGGAAAAGACAGCAGCCTGCTGTCAGCAGGTGACAAGCTCCTGCACGTCGGGAGGCAATGCGCTGTGCCAGAGCGTCGGCACTGACACCCGCCGTAAAACGGACATTTAACCAAATTGTGACGTTTACCCTCTTGCAATTTAACATTCCCCTCGCCCCCATCCTAACCTTAACCAGCTTGAGCATGCAAAGCTCTGATAGTTGACGCGCTCCAGACATCTGTGTCCTGAGCACGGCCACAGCAACATAATCAAATCAGGTGTCGCCACCTCAAAAACTAATTTAACACGCAATCGTTCATGTCGGCTCATTTCCTTTTATGTTTTCTGTCTTTTGTCCTGCAAGGGACTGGCTCTCTGTCCAGGGTGTACCCCGCCTCATTGCCCGTTGACTGCTGGAGATAGGCGCCAATTAATTGTCAAAAACTCCAGCGAACCATTAGTTCATTTTGCTCAAATAGAAAAGGCCTGAAGCTTGATGAGCTTGCGTCAAATACAGGCCCGGGCCTGTATTAGAGGATTTGCGGTAGTCTGCAAATACAAAACAATGTGTTTTTAATTGTTGAGAAATTATAGTCCCCCCAACCCCCCCACCCCCACCCCCACCCCCAATTCCTCAAGTTGGTATGGTCGGTCCACAAGCGCTGTTTCCAACGGGCGGGGCTGCCGGCTCTGCCCTGCTCACAGCTTCACAGCAGCCCGCAGGCTCACAGGAGGCGGGAATCAAAAAGCCAGCAGTTTCCAGCAGTAAGTCATTTATCACACGCTTGTTCTACAAACTTAAATATGTATGTCAAATGTGGTCATAAATGTCAAACATAGACACCGATTATCTTTACATCACCGGTCGGAGATCCCTTTATGACAGACCACCACCACCACAGTAAAAAAAAGTTGTCACTTCATGTTCTCTCTTCATTACAGGATTATTCCACTATTATTAGTCCATTCACTAAGGTGATCAAAAGTTCCTTTTTCCGGACACGTACGCTTTCACGGTCTTCCCTGGAATCTGCGGAGCATTTATAGATCGATGAAAATGTCCGTCTTTCATCCTATTTAGCAGATGAATATGGTAGAATCAAAACTAACTGGTCCGATGTATGGAAAACCACAGCGTTTAACCACTCATCACGTCTTCCCCAGGCTCTGCAGATGTTTACAATATGTTAAAGTGCAGGTGCACCGTGCAGCTTAGGGATGAACTGGTTGCAGCAAATGTGTGGTGGAGGCACGTTGCTCAAAGCTCTCAGTGTAAAACACAGAGCCAAAGATCCTGTTGGCCACACAGACCCAAAAACATGAAAACTGAGAAAAGTGAGGGATCGATTAAACTGAAAGATAAACTATAGAGTATGTATATGTTTAGTGTATTTGTAAAGTAAATGTTTTTATTTTCATTATTAAAATGAAACAAATATTTCAAGCATATATTATTAGATTTTGTGTACCTTTTCGTTCAGCAGGACCTAGATAAAGTTATTAAATATTACAGAGTTATTCTCTAATAGCCTACAAACATTTCTATGATTTATTAAAGAGATTTCAGTCATTTTGATACTTGACTTGTGAAAGCTGATTTGAAGTTTGTTATTTTTTCTAGCCATATTTAGAAGGAAAATTTCAAATATATTAAAATCAATATGGAACTATTTGGATTTTAGTAGCTTTCATGTTATGTGATTTAATAAAATTTTAATTTGACATTTTATGTTCTCTCTCTTTGTTGTGAAAAAGTTAGATATGCTTTAGTACTTAAAATGAATGCTTTGCATCCGTCCACACGTGTAGCTGTTGGTCAGCTGATAGCCGTGTCATTTCAGGACATGTTGCTTCAACTATTAACGATCTGCTTTTAAATCTTTATTCTGAATGGCTTATTCCGTTTTAGGCCACAGTCTTGTTATTGAAATGAAAACAAAAAGAAAGGATGCCTATGGAGATGTACAAAATTGGCAGATATTATTGTTGATCAATATCCTCCAGCTCCATTAATGACAATATCCCATCTGTGTGTGTGTTGCTGTCCAACTGTCAGCAGACCAGGTCAGTTGAAATGGCAGAGAAATGAAAAACGGCAGCCATCAGGTCGTTTTTTAATGCTCCAGAACGTCAAGTAAGTAGAAACTAGCATTTTGATAAAGACATCTATAAGAAAGAAATGAAATGCCTATGAAATTGTTTCTAAATGGTTTCATTTGCAAAGTCCAGTCACTTGAGCACAGGTAGCCAGAGCCTGTCAGACACAGGCACAGGGTCACAGGTCAGTCTCTTATAAGGACATACAGTGTTGTATGTAGAGAGCATTTTTTTCATGTCCCCCCCAAAAATTACTCTCTGAAGTTTTACTGTTTATTGTCCCCCCCCAAAATTGAAATGGGATTTCCGTCCTTGATTTTCATGTTCAGTGGCCCATTAGAATCAGAAATAATCATTAAAACATATTTTTACCTTATTTTAAAGAGACAATGTGTAGTTTTTACCATTTTTTCTGAAAATATCCTTCAAAATGTTGAAAATGAATTAAACGAAGTCCAGTGGTTGAAAATGTTTGGCGGTTTTGTAACATATAACCATAAAAACAGTGTTGGGCAAGTTACTTCAAAACTGTAATACATTATTTATTACTTGTTACCCTCATTTTAAAGTAATTCATTACATTACAATATTACTGATTTTAAAATGTAAGGCATTACACTACTTTTGCATTACTCTAAGTTACTTTCAACAAAACAACTTCAGTATGAATCTGATGCCTGGTGAACTCATGACACATCCGGTGGAAGGTGATGTGGTGTCTGAGCTATAGGATTGCTGTTAAAAACAGATCTTTAGAAGGATTGTTTATGAAATAAAAGCAACAACAATCTGTACTCTCAGCATGCTGCCATCTTAGATTAACTGAGCAGGGAGTGAGGTGGTGGGGGCTCCAAGTCTATTTAGCCTTGGTCCCCAAATGCCTTGATACGGCCCTGGGTGTGGGACTGGCTTCTGGGTTGATCTGATTCTATCACATGTATAAATAATGAATGCTTATATATTATTGCTTTTCACTGGTAAAATGTGTATTGGGGATAAATCTACCTACTTTTTGTCTTTTCAAGCCCTTTGTCTTGTTTTCTTGATTTTATTTGAATAATTTCCTGCCCTGTCTCTCTCTAATTCCTGCATGCTGCATGTTTCTCCATAGACTGTACATATACTGTACATTTCTCCGTCTTCCAGAAAAAAACTGTTTCCTAGACTTCCTACTTTCTATCAGCCAAAGGGATCTTCACATGCGCGGCGCTCCAGCAGCAATGAGTTAAAATCACCGGGGCCCAGATTAACTCAGATGAGGCAAAGCACGTCAGAAAAGTACAGAGAACATGCGCTGATATGAACGATCGCAGGTGAACTATTTTGTTTTAGTGGAGCGATTTTGTGAATGTTACAGCGGCCGCGTGGAGGACGCAGCTGGAGTATTTGAGCCGGCCGGTACCGCTACGTCATCTGCCTGCAAAGCTGAGTCCATAAATGACGTCATATATGCAGATACTGGATCTTTTTTCGGGTTTCCCGCAATTTGAATTTTTAAGAAACGCATCTTGATTCTGGGTTTAAAATGCATTGTAATTACTGCGTTACTGACAATTGTACCGAGTAAATATTACCATTTTCCCCCCTGTAATGCCTTACATTACCACATTACAACAAAAAGCAATGCATTACAGTAATTAATTACTTCTGTACCGCATTACTCCCAACACTGCATAAAAATCAGGTCTAAAATACACGGGAGCGGAACCTTGCACTGATGTCTTGGCCCCACTCCTGTTGCCTAGGTGATACATCATCAGATACGCCAAGACGCGTTCCAATGTTCATGTTCTACCGAGGCATGTCTTCTCCGTTTGTTAGCCATTTAGCTAGCTGAGCATGGATACACAGGAGGTGTCTTGTAGCCTAGCCTTGGTCAAAAGTTTCCCAGAACACACTGCAGTATTTTCAACAGGATGGCGGATCAGAAGCCGGCAGCTACTTTGGGGGCAAATTTCAAGTTTAAAAGTAAGTCAACTAATTTAAAATGTTTTTTTTTTAGATCCAAAGAAGTTATCTATGGTTGGTTAGTTCCTTAGTAGTAAGCTTTGGTGGCTAGTGGGTAGTAACTCGCTTATATATTTAATATATACACAAGTTAAAAAGTAAAATGCTTATTATATATTTATATTGAAACTTACACGCATAAAATAAAATGTTATCTCCCGTGTCACGTGACGTTACGTGATCACCGTGGAATCCACGGTCACGTGATGCAAGTCAGTTCCATTTAACCATTTTCTTTGACCAAGGAAGGACAGCGTCCTCGTAAGCAAGGCGCCTTTACATTGAGAAACACCCTAAGTCTCTGGGCAACACCATATTAGATGCCACGTTTTGTTCTACGAGAGCCCATGAGGATAAAATGCATTTACTGATATGTAACAAGATGGGCTTGTTATTGTGCTAAAGTCTGCACTCTCCGGGGCTTTTTGACCCTGATAGGCATCCATTGGTAAGATCCAACACAAAAATGCTGCTTGCTTGCAACTATTTAGGTATCCACTGCCCCTATCGTCAGGAAAAGTACTCACTGTCATCTTAAGTAATTATATTTTTATAGAGAATATTTTTTATTTTAGAATAGAAAAAAACCAAAAGTATAAAAATGAGATTTTTTAATATTCTTAAAATCAGTTTTTGCAGTGCAGCAGCACTGATTCAACAAGGAAAGGCTCTGACGTGATTTTAAGTCTGACGGCCTAAATGTGTCTTGGATGGATCCAAAATGATATTTGTATAAGAATCTCGGGCCCTGGTCCTGCAGACAAATGGCTCCTGTCATGTTCTGTTTCCAAAGAAAGAGAGCTCTTCTAACCAAACAGAGACAAGCGAGAGGAGAGAGGACATCTCCTCGTTCAGTCTGCTCAGTGTCTGAGACAATCTTTCACCAAGCTGGACGTCTGTGTTGCTTTCCTGCTTTTAAGGTCAGAATTAAAGTCCTGCTCCTCCTGTTGGTTTAGTTAAAGTTAACACCTACATAGGAGTCATTGATTCTTAATTCTTCTGAATTGGCTTTTTCTTTTAAAGGTGTTTATCTAAAAAGAGACTCTGGATAAATATGGACTCCAGCAGGAAAACAGTCCCAGTAAAACTCCTGGTTTTGGGAGCCCACAACACTGGAAAAACAGGTAAGTTTGAGACCAGCCATAAAACAGAAGAGATTATGGATTAGGAGTGTGTGGAAAGAGTTAGATGTCAATGTTCATGAGCTAGTCTGAGCTTGACCCCGTGGTAAGGTGTAAATATAAGCCTGTGTCCATAGATGTCTCTTCGTTATAGCGATAAAATCTAACGTCTAGCAATGGTCAGTTTTCACCTAAAAACTGACCCGCATGCCACCAGTCACCGGAAGACATAAATTCCAGCTCTAAGGTGGATTTTACATTCTACCTTCCAACAAGCAACAAGGTTCTGCAAACCTTGTTGACATTTCAGGAGGAACACAATGTAAGCCTGTGTTCCCAAACAAAGCCTTCTTCTGATAACACCGCAGGATTCCTCATGCCTCAGAATAAAGTGACTATTTTCAGCTCATATGAGTTAATCAATCGTGAAATGGAATGAATAAATGTTATATGAAATGATCAATAAAGTTTTGATTAATCTGTGCTTAAATTAATAAGGATGATTAATCTGTGCTTGAACTACTGAAGTTTGAAATGAATATTATTATGGTATGATCAGTAATTGTAGATTTAACAAGTGAATCATTATCTACACTCAGACACAAGGTTCACTAGAGATAAATTAAAGTTAAGTTAAACGACATGACACATAGATACTTGCTTAGCCACAATGCAGAACATCCTGTATCTGAGGTTTGCTTGTGAACACCCCTTAACATGACACGTCCCGGTTGGCCAAGAAATCATAATATGAGAATATTAAAACAGAGCTCACTAGACGGTGAGTCAGTTCTAGGGAAAGCTACAGACAGGCCATCCGTAGCGAACCCTCTTTAACCCAAAGCTTTCGACAAGCTAGAAGCTGCCTACAGCTGACAGCCAAATGGTTCCTTCAGCTATTCAGAAACAGCTGTTCTAGACGCAAACAAATTCATCTATCTGTTGTGACTCGGAAACATCTCTGGACTGGAGAGTCGGTGCTGCAGTTAATCTACCAAACCTCGGTGCCCAGAGGTCATCCAACCTCCCTGACCTTCGGATCCGCGAAGAGGGTCTCCAAAGAAAGGGTGAGGTAGACACACAGATTGCGTCTGATGCCGGTTTGATAAGAACCAACTTCATAGCTTAATGCGAACCAAATTCTCCTTTTCACACCCAGAACTCAGTTCTTCTAGATACGAAGGTTCTGATAACCTCACATTCACACATAGTCACAGTACATCACATCGCATCCTCTTAGATTCATCCATCACAGTAGCCTTGGTTAACTTGTCATGTTTATTTGTTTAGAAAAAAAATTCTTATCTTTTATAAACCTGACTCTGTCTGAATTGAGACAAAGTGTGTTAGATCCCTGAAAAAGCAAAGAATCCTAGAATCTTCTGATTAAACATCCAAAGACGAAGCAGGTTGATATTCTACATAGAGTCTCACAGCTTATTGGTCATAAGTAAAGGTAATATATTAAGCTTAAAAGCACAACATTTAACACTCTACGATAGATGCTGTATAAATTATCTATTCATATATTTTCAAGCCTTTTTTGTCTTTGTGCTACAGTTTGACGTGCCCATTTTATGTCACCCTAATCTCCATAACGACTTTAGAAGTAAATTTAGACAACTTGGTCATGTTTAGTCATGTTTCTTTGTTTTGTTGTCCTTGTGTACGTCTTTGAGGACGTCACGGCTGAGTGTGTCTAGTTTTTATCCTCACCACACTTTCCCCATTTTTCATCCAGTTTCTTTTTCCTCTCTTGTCACGTTTTCATTGTTTAATATCCAAATAAAAGCTGAGTTGTATAAAAATCTGGTTTATTTTTTACTTCATTTGGTTAGGTTAGGTATGTTTGGTTCGCTTTCAGGAAAATCTTCAGCAGTGAGATGATACCAACTCCAAATACTCAAAACTTTCTCGTTTTTTCTTTTGGAAAGTCATTTTTCAGATATTTCTTTTACTTTATTTATGATTTGTGTATTTTTATTTTATTTGAACCTAAAGTAAAACAAACTTCTCTCAATCAGTCCTTTAATCGGGGCCCCCACACAGCCACCTTCTGGCCCCCTGTGCCAAGCCCCCACATTTGTCTTGTTTGCTCTGCCCCTGCTTGTGTTCTGCTTATCTAACACTTACATGTCCTAAGTGTTTATTTATTTATTTTTTGTGAATAATTTTGGCTATGCTACCACAATTCATCTTTTTCGGGGGGAGAATGTGTGTTTTGGGGGGAAATACCAAAATAATAAAAAAAAAATTCCCGTACTCCATACTGTAACACTGAAATCATTTTGTAGCATTACCGCCATTAGTGAATTTTTTGTGCCATTGACTCCCATGTAAATCACTTTTTTCTAGTAAGCCTAAATGTTAGCTTTTATATATATATATATATATATATATATATATATATATATATATATACCGTATATATATATATATATATATATATATATATATATATATATATATATATATATATATATATATATATATATATATATATATATATATATATATATATATAATTCTTTCTGGGTTCCCAGGGCAGTTGCAAACTCAATTTTGAGTTGTTTTAATGTTTTCCACTAGATTGCACATTTTTCTTATGTATACCAGGGAAATAACTAAAGACGAATTCAAATATAATTTTTTTAATAAAAATATTTTTATGACCATTTATGACACTCCAATGTGTTGAAAATTCACCCATAAAACAAATCATCTGGACATAACACACAAATTTTTTTAATATTTTCAATTTGTTTACATTTGGTTATGATCATGCACAAGACAATAAAGGAGGAAATAAAAAGGTTAAATCTTAGGAATGCACAAATATTTTATTATATTTTGTGAGGACAGAAGCCAAGGACAAAATTCATGTAAAAAAATTAGGATTTTTGAACATTTTTACATTTTTTCACAATTCTGGTAACGGTCATAAACCTGCAATAATGGGGTTAATTCTTAGAAACACCCACATTTTTTATTATATTTTGTTACGGGCAAAGCTAAGAATGAAATTCATGTAACAAAATTGGGACACATGAAATATGTAATATCTCTATAGGAAGTTTTGTATGTGCATTTTTTTGTGCTCAAACGCCAAAAACATCAGAAAATTCAAAGGTAACACATGGGTTAAAACAGGTTGCTTTCTTCTGATGAAGCAAAGGGATCAAGCTGTAAATATTAACGAGACTTCAGCTGCTAAAAGTGAATGAAGGCTCTCAGCAGCAGTCAAGGGTCACATGACAGCTCAAACAAGCTCCAGCAATGATTTTAATGTGCTCTGCTAAAATACAGCCAGCCCTTCAGCAGCTGACACAAACGTCAAACAAGCACAAACACAGAGAAATCACTAGCTCGTTTGTTTAAACAGGCCAGGTTGATGCTGCAGGGGTCTGATCAGATGTTCATCACCCTGCTCTCCACTCATCGTGTCTGTTTTGTGTCTGCAGCGCTGTGTGTTCGTTTCATCACCAAACGCTTTATAGGAGAATACGACCATAAGAAGGGTAAGAATGAAGTGAATAATGTGAACGCATCACATGTTGGCAGGACTTACCAGCTGTTTCTGCAGAGGTGACTTATAGATGTAACCGGGTGGTGGATCAGGAGGCTGTGGAGCTGGAGATTTTGGACTTGCCCTTTAAGGTAAACGTGACGATCAGAGGACACCGTTGTGTCTGGTAATTCAGTGGGCTGTGATAAATGACCTTTTGGTGTGAAATAATCTAAAAAATACACATTTCTTGATAATCTTGATAATCCCAAACACCCAGCTTGTTTTAGCTTTAGTTAACCAAATTCCTTCTGTTACTTTTAAATGCAAACCAATGTAAATTTATTCTCTGTCCACTTTGTGAAACTTTGTCCTCCAGGAGAGCTCTGCAGCTTCTCTGGAGTCGTCCATCTGCTGGGCTGATGGTTTTCTGCTGGTCTACTCCATCACTCAGCGCTTCAGCTTCACAGAAATCCCACGACTGAAGACTTTCATCGACAAAACCAAACATGGTCTTGGTAGCTGGCAACCTTCCTCTCTAATTAAAGAATCTCTATTTATTCCACAAGGACTCAATATTTATGTTATTTCTTGAGGTTTTGTGTCTGGTTACAAAGAAAGAAAACTGCTAAAAATAGCTTTTAAGGTCTTCACAAAAACTTATTTCACCTGTCATAACTGGATATTTGGTCCTGGTAGAAACCGGTAACTTAGACGACTCCCAAATACGCAACCGACCCCCACAACGGGCGGTGTGTTCACGACGCTGTGAGGCTGACATCTGTCCATTGTCTCCTTCAAGAGCACAGCTGGAGCTGACATGCTGTCCTTGTTTGGAAGCCCATCCTGTGTGCTGAAGGTCGAGTCATCCCTCTCTCTCTCTCTCTCTCTCTGTGTGTGTGTGTGTGTGTGTGTGTGTGTGTGTGTGTGTGTGTGTGTGTGTGTGTGTGTGTGTGTGTGTGTGTGTGTGTTTGTGTTTAGGTGTTCCTACTGTTCTGGTCGCCAACAAAACAGATCTGGAGATTGGAAGGGAGGTGACGATGGAGGAAGGACAGAAGATGGCCAAAGATCTACGGTTTGCTTTAATTGTTGGGTTTAAATTCCTTCTTTATGTCTCAATCACAGCTAAGTGTGTGTGTGTGTGTGTGTGTGTGTGTGTAGATGTGGTTTCAGAGAGCTGTCAGTGGCTGAAACGGTCCTAGCAGTGGAAGCAGCTGTGTTTCAGCTCATCAGGTTTGTTTCAGTTGAACTCAAATCCAGCTGCTAACAGATGCCAACGCCACCGTTCCCTCTGGTGTGTGATCAGGCTGGTGGTGGACCAGCAGCGCCCTCTGCCTGACCGTCGCTCCTACATGCTGACAGTTCGCCACGCTCTGAGCAGGAAGCTTACTCGGTCCAAGACCATGCAGTGGTGACCGCGGCAGACTCACAAACCAAAGGTTCTGGGAACGTTCTCCAGACTGACGGAAGGTGAATCAGCGAGATGCTTCATTTACATCTCACTTATCTACTGGGATCTTTAGATCTGACCTCTGCTTCACTGTCGACCCCTAACCCTGAATCAGAAATAAAATGTGTCTCTTCTCCAGCAGGGGGGAGCAAAGTCTAGTCATTTCACCTGCTGCAGGTTTCACACAATCTGAAAACACACATCTGGGTCAAACGCCCTTGGTGTGGACAGAGCCGAGTGGCCTGACCTCAACCCTCTGGATCAGCGAGAATCCAAAGACGTCCCTAGAGAAAAAAAAAGCAGGAAAGAGATGAAGCGGATTCACACGAGTGGCTTTTTTTGGAGGCCAGCTTCATGATCTGAGCACAAATATTTCACACAGAAGCACAAAAGCCCTGGAGGGGATGAGTTGAACCTGTTTCTGAAGTTCATCTGTCAGATTGTGAGTGAAGCAGCTGCTGGAGAGTGGAGATGATGTAACATCGTGTAGAGAATGAAGCTGGCTTTCATTACAGCTTTGGCGTTACTCGACTGTGTCCCCGCGCGTCTGCACCAGCTTCTCGCCTTTCTTTGAACTCCTGAACTTCATGATCACAGAGAGAGAATAAGACCCGAGTGTGGCAGGAAAGGAAAAACACTGTGGCTTCTTTGTCATTTTAATAGTCTAGAAGAAGCAGACAAAAGCAAGATTTGAGTCATTTTGCTGCAGCCGCACCGAGAGGACAACCTCTAGCTATTTGTTAGGGCATCAAATTGGAGGTGTGCTTACCGCTTTAACCAGTTGTCATACATCTGTTGCCCCACCCTGCTAACCACAGGGCCCTTTTGGCTCGTTTTTATAAACACAAGATGATTTTAACCTCCAGTCCTTCACACTCACCAGAACTACTGCCTGATTTTTGGGCCTGTAGTCATGTGGAGAGTGGAGGACCCATCACTGACTCACTGCCCATCTCCCCTATGATCCAGCCTTGACTGGATCAGGGAGACACATCAGGAGGATGTTGATCAAGCAAAGGTGACGACATCACGCCTGTCACCAAGGAGATTAAAGGTCAGGACCCCAAGTCAGCTTTTTTTTGCCTCAGAATAGAAGATGAGTCATACCTGCATCACTATGCTGACAGCCAATCAGACACTGGCAGACAGAACACACATCAACAGGTGACCAGCCAATCACTGAGCTTAAAGTAGACTAAGCTATCCTGATGGTATGACTGTGTCTGTATGTGTGTTCCAACATGATGTGACTTTGTTTGTTCATTTATCATCAGATTTCTGCCTCACTTATCAAAGAGACATTTTCAGTTAGTTAGTTGACAATGGTTTAATTTGTACGAGTTCTCAGCAGCAGGGAAGCACAACCCGTCTTCTCTCCAGCGATCTCCACCAGCTCCTCTGGTGGAGCCTCTCCAGCACGTCCTGGGTCAGCCGTGGGGTCTGCTGCCAGCAGGACAATCCCAAAACACTTCTCCTGAGAAGGATTCAGACCAAAAACCATCTCAAATTGCTCATTTTGATATGGAGCAGCAGCACCTCTTCTAGTGCCTTTACTCACCTCCTTGGAGATAAATTGGTATCGGGCTAGGTTTAGGGTTAGCTCAGAGCTGTATCAACCCTCAAAACCAGAATCATTGCATCTCTATGAAAAGTGTTCTTCGGTATGTGGTCCAGACCAAACACCAACACCAACAGACCAAACTTCTACTGCAGAATGAGCTGATGTTCAGTTCAGCCACCACCTTGGAGTAGACCTTCCATGGTAGCTGGGGAGTGTGACTTTGTGATGGTTGGAACAATCCCTCTTGTCCCTCTTCTTAAAAATGGACATCACTAGTCTGCTTCACAGGCATTGTACCCTATCATGCAGTGTTGCAGGTGCTTGATATCAATGGATGTCATCAGTCTTAGGTCTCCTAGCTCTGGTTCCACCTTGGATTACATGTTGGTGGGACGGCATCCTTCAACCACATCAGCAGCTCCCTTTCTGTGAACAGTGTGAGCAAGCTGCATGAATATAAAAACAAGATCATGGTTGGCTAAAAAATTCCCATGTCCTTGCTATTTTAGCTCCACAACAAGCTCAGTTATCCTTTAGGATTCATTAGGTCCTGGTGGGAATTACTGCTGACAATCAAAGGTCACATCAGTTACACAACACCAGTGTGTGAGGGAGAAAATAAAGAAGGTTGCCTTGTCTTCTAGGGCAAAGACACCTCCGTAAAGCGATACTCTACGGGAGAAACGCAATGCAGAAGGGGCGAAAACAGAGAAGGAGAAAGCATCCGATAAGAAAAACTGTAGGAAAACACTTGGGATGGAAACAAGAAGCCAGTAGAGAAAGAGCCTGGAGAGTGAAAGGAGATAATTATATAACAAACTATTGTTTGTATTGAGTCTAAAACCCTTTTTATAAAACCATCATACTAAAGAGTTGTGGCACCACACCCTCGACTGTCAACAAAAAAAACAGAACCACAATACAAACTATAGATAAACCCTTCTGTGTGACAGGAATCTGAACCAGTTTCAACATTCCTCTCATTTTATATTTCAAACATATGAAAACAGAGTTAAAGGGAGGAGGAATGAGACTGTAGGTAGTAGGGATGTGTATCAGTGAAATTAAGGCAATACGATACGAATCACGATACGGGGAGACGATACAATATATCACGATATATTGCGATACATTCAGTCAAACGATATTAGCAATTTTTTTAGACTGAATTTAATGTAGGAAAATTCAACAAACAGTCCAAGCTGACACTCAACATGTTTAACGTGACGTATCTGAACCATTGAGGGATTTACATTTCAATGGTGGAAACAAAACCCTTTGCAAACTGCTGCCAACTAGCGGTCGGCATTTGAATTACACCAAAATAAAAGAAAATACACAAATGTTTGCATGTTAATTCTTCCAAAAATTTGATTCACAGCTTTTGAATATATTGCAGGAAAATATATCACAATATATTGCGATATCGATATTTTCAATACACGGCTTTTGAAAATCGATATAACATCGTGATATATTGCTATATGGATATTTTCTAACATCCCTAGTAGGGAGGCTCAGTTATCCTGGAATGGAGGCTATATTTGCTTCATTTCTATTTTATTACCAGGTTTGTTGTGTGTGTGTGTGTGTGTGTGTGTGTGTGTGTGTGTGTGTGTGTGTGTGTGTGTGTGTGTTTGGATGGATGGCTGTATAGTCTCAACAAGTCAGTGACTCAATGCCATCTGCTGTGTTTTCTTACAAAGGAAACTTTTGTACAAATAAACTGAATATTTTTTCAGTCAAGTCAATCCCAAGTTTTCACCTTGAGAACTAAATCATATTTACATACAAAAACATAACAAATTCAACCAAAGCAGGACGAGGAATAAAGAGTCACTGTGATGAGCAGAAAACATACCTACTTTATTTATAACGTACTTTCAATCATATTTATTTAAAATAATATAAATAATAATAATGATTGAAAGTAGAAGTAAAATTAGTGATAAGAGCTGATCCTGATGTAAAAACATCAATAGCACTTGTTTATCCAAACTGCAAGCAAATATGCATAATTAACTTTTAGTTACTTTTTAAATGACTTGAAACATAATCTTTGGTTTATTGGATTATTCATTGAGACATATTAAATTTAAAAATGACTAATTGGTGTGATAAAATTTTAAGTAATGAGTTTATGTTTGGAAATACTACTTTTAACGAGTTTTAAAAAGCGTTTTTGTGTTTTAAGGAAGAACAGGTACGATACGGGCTAATTATTTTAGCCAATGGCGCTCCCAAGGGGTGGCCATGGCCACTAGATAATTGTTGCCCCTCCCAGAAAAAGCCAGTGTTAATAAATCATATTAGTGTTCACTCAAACCATAAATTGATCTTATTTATTCAAGACACATTTGAAAAACAAAATAAAAATAATATAATTAATGAGTAAAGAAACAATCAGAATAAAAAAATACACATGTTTCTGCTGCTCACTGTTTACATTTTTTTTATCTCCATAGTTTTTTGTGAACACAGCAACAGGTGAATTAAAATAAAAAAGAAATTTTAAAATAAAATTTGAACTAACATTTTAAATAACTGAAATGTAAGTATTTATAAAATTGTTGTTAAATGTTTTGGATACGTACTGTTTTCAACAAATAATAAAAATGAATAAAGGAGAAATGCAATACATCACCGCCTCTCCCAGAGGACCAGTGTGGTGTGCCACCCCAAAAAATTATTTGGCCCTGTCTGCAGTATATATGTCGATGGTGGCCACTCCATCTAAATTTTCTGGAGGCGCCCCTGACTTTAGCTACTCCAGGTGCTGCTAACAATTATCTTTTTCATTCTAATCCAACAAAACATGGCCATTTGAAAAAAGTATTTAAGTAAAAACTATAATAACTTATCTGATATGTCTGTGGTAAAAATACACAGGTGAAAAGTTTCACATTTTCCAGTTATTTTCCAGTTATCAAACGTTTATCAATGAATCTAAATTATATCAAAGTGTTTTTGCGTTCTTGTTCAAATATTTTCTTGGAAAACGTTTGGATTTAATTTCGTTGTGATAAAAAAAACTTCGTATAATTCTGGGGGCGTGGCGCGTGTTTACCGGGGTGGGCGGGGTTTGGTTGAATATTCATCGGCGCGTGGCTGACAGCACTCGCGAAAGAGGAGGAGAGAGCAGAAGAACATCAGCGGCTCCACCACAGCAAGCCGGGTGGAGAAGGATGTGTAATTCAGAAGAAATCTGACGTTACGTCGCTTCCGCTTCACTTTTCCAGGAGGAGCGCTTGAAAACAAACCTTCTCGTTTTTTAATGAGTTGATTTTGAAGTGTCGCGCGACCAGGGAGCTACTGTCCATCATGATGGAGTCTCTCCTAGACAGTTTTGTGGTGGACAAACTCTATCCCCACGCAGGGACCAACCTGTTGGACCTGGAGGAGCTGAGCGACGGTGATTTCCTCACGAACGTGGTGAGTTCAAGTCTCTTTAGCGTCTCCCTGCTGGAACCCAAACGCACCCCGCGGTGTTTGTTCCGCCCGCAGCCGGACCTCGGGAGGGTGGTGGATTTATGAGATCCTGACACACATCCGGGGCTCATTTACCGTGTGTGTGTGTGTGTGTGTGTGTGTGTGTGTGTGTGTGTGTGTGTGTGTGTGTGAATTGCGCGCGCGTGTGTGTGTGTGCGTGCGTGCGTGCGTGCGTGCGTGTGTGTGTGTGACTACTAGAGGAAACTGGAAACATGCTGGCTGGTTACTGGTTAACTTGTTTCGACTAGCAGGTGTTGCATTATTCAGGTACTTGATCAGGTTTATTGCCTCAGCCTCCTAGCAAGGCATCTTTCACAATGAAATAACTCACCACATTGATTTTAGATGCTGCACGAGATTTTATGAAATGAAATAAAGTCACAGATCCCAGCAGTTTGCATCAACCCAGGCTCCGATCCCCACAGATGGATGTCCTGTCTCCTAGTCAACTGATAATTAGCACATTTTTCACATGAAACTTTTCATTAAAAGTTACTGTTTCACTACAATCACACCTATGACTGCCCCTGAGAAGTGTGACTAATTGCATTTAACCTCCTCATAATCAGTAATGAGTCTGCATGTCTGAGTTTTTAAAGTGGAAACACACTGAGAGGTTAACGGCAGCAGGAATCGTCACTTTTTCTTTTTCCACATTGTGTTAACCCATCTTTTTTTGGGTTGACTTCTATTCTAGTCCGTGAGTCAGGCGTGCAGTCTGCTTGTGGTTTAAACTCTTTAAACTCCTCTGTCTGCTCTAAATAGGGAGTCCACTAGGCTGGGCTGTCCTACTGAGGAAACAGGGAAAGAATGGATCAGTATGGCACACTTTAGTTCAGTGAATGAACCAAGTTTTAATACAAATGTGTGCAAAAGATGCTGTTAGGCAACAGAAAGATGGTCCTGAAAACCAGTGACTGATTCCTAAGATATTTTTCCTCCAGTGTCTTTGTTTGCTAGCAACCTGTTCTTGGCTAATTTGAGTCAGACTCCCAAGAAAGTAATCATCAGCAACTGGGCTAACTTTTAGAGTCACTCCAAGTCAAGATGGCTGCTAAAGGTAAAACCAAGGGCGGCCAACTCAGACGTGACAGAAATTGCAGTTCCCCTCTCATCCGCTAGGGGCTAGCACCAGAAAGAGGAAGTTAAAAATGCCAACTTCACAGCAAGGGTAAACTAGCATAGAAGCTAGACTGTCTTTTGCCAAAGAAAGTAGACGGTCTAGCTGTCTAGACCCTTGTAATGACCCTTATTGTGACTTCACACAAAAGAACATTTGCGTTGAATCCCCCTCACCTGTTTACACTGGAGGAGTGGTGGCTCTACTCGAAGCCCCTCCCTTATATATGAATTGCTCACCCCACAGCAGCCAATCAGGTAATGTTGGGCGGGGCCAGCAACAGCTTATTTACATTAAGGTGGCAGAACCCTGAAATGGCTAATTCTGGACGTTACCCAGCCAACTGTAAACGATAAAACTGCTAATCGCTTTATGAGAGAGACTTTATGTAAAGAACTTCATATATAACCATAACTTAATATAAGTTATAATACTTCCCCTTAAATTTCTCATTCACTTGTTTGCTGTGGTCGTCTCTGTGGAATAAACGCTCTCGAGCTTCTGTACCAGGGGTTAGAGGTTAGTCTGAGGATGTTACTCATTCATATTCATGATATGCAAAAATCTTGCCTTTAATTGGCTAAATCAACTCGTCTGCTGCCTTTGTTCACTTTTTTTTTTTTTTTGTAAAAGTGGAACATTGATGTTTTATCTCAGCTAATGACACAAGCCTGTGTCCCGCCATGCTAACAGCTTTTATTTTCATTTGTTAAGCGTTTTATGTGTTGGGAGAGTTGTACAGGACCATCATGCAAAGACTGTGATAGTGGTTTGTGTTGATTCAACTGTGCGTTTACTGTAGATTATTATAGGTGTTTACAGGTTTTCCAGTTCACCTAGGTCCTTTCTTTACTTTAAAGCTTTTATAACAAATCTGCAAACAAGCTAGGTTTTAAACACAAACATGGTCACGGTACACTCACCCACGCCCTCGGGTATCTTCTCTGGATCCGCCACAACTGTAAACGAACACCCGCATAGCCAGAAGAAACGAGATAGCGCTAAACACCAGTCGCTGTTTTCAAGGTCCAAACGTCTTTTGTTGTCCGTGACTTCAAATGGTGATTTTCTTTTTGGGACTCCGATAGTTTGTCCTGAAGCTCAGTGGTAGCAGCCGGCTCTTTCTCCTCAGATGTTATTGAGCAGAGAACCTCTCACACCAGTGGTGTTCTGCTGCTGAATACGTGAGTGTGTGATGAGTGGAGGACCCAGGAAAGTGTGGCGGTTCGGTAACACCGACAACCGGATGGTCCAATAGTTGCGTTTGGTCCAAAACGTGTTATTGGTAGACGTTTTTAGACAATTGCAAGAAAGCCATCCATCCATCCATCCATCCATCCATCCATTGTTTTCGGCCGCCTATCCAGGGTTGGGTCACGGGGGCAGCAGCCTAGGCAAAGAGGCCCAGCCCCCCCAGCCCCCCCCCCCCCCCCCCCCAGCAACCCCCCCCCCCCCCAGTTACTTGGACCAGCTCCTCGGGGGAATCCTAAGGTGTTCTCTGATCAGTCGTGAGACATAGTCTCTCCGGCGTGTCCTGGGTCCTCCTTTAGGTCTCCTCCCGGTTGGACGTGCCCAGAAAACCTCACCAGGGAGGTGTCCTGACTAGATGCCTGAGCCACCTCAACTGGCTCCTCTCGATGTGGAGGAGCAGCGGGTCTACTCCGAGCCCCTCCCTGATGACAGAGCTTTTTACCCTATCTGTAAGGGAGAGCCCAGCCACCCTGTGGAGAAAACTCATTTCAGCCGCTTGTATCCGCGGTCTCGTTCTTTCGGTCACTACCCAAAGCTCGTGACCATAGGTGAGGGTAGGAACGTAGATCCATTGGTAAATCAAGAGTTTTGCCTTCTGGCTCAGCTCTCTCTTCACCACGACAGACCGGTACAACGGCCGTATCACTGCAGATGCAGCACCAATCCACCTATCAATCTCACTCTCCATCTTTCCCTCACTTGTGAACAAGACCTCCACTTGGGGCAGGACCTCATCCCTGACCTGGAGAAGACATTCTACCCTTTTCTGACTCAAAACCATGGTCTCAGATTTAGAGGAGCTGATTCTCATCCCAGCTGCTTCACACTCGGCTGCGAACCGCTCCAATAAAACCACTCTGCAAGAAAATTACTATTAATTTTTTTTTCTTTTTTTTTTCTCCATCTCTACAATATATTTGTGGCTAAACTTTGTTAGAACGTAGTTAAGAGGCATGACAAATGGTTTCAGCTAGTTTGTTTTCCAAATATGCAGCTTTAAGTTGCTCTTGTTGCCTAGTTATCAGAAAAATTATTTTGCCTGATGCGCTGAAGGTTTTGAGTGTAGGTACACAAGAGTTTTATTTTCGGGACATCAGAAAACAAGAGTAGTCTCTTAATGTTTGGTATATGTTAAAATCGATTTACCAGTCCATCTACGTTCCTACCCTCACCTATGGTCACAGCTTTGGGTAGTGACCGAAATAACGAGATCACAGATACAAGCAGCTAAAATGAGTTTTCTCCACTGGTTGGCTGGGTTCTCCCTTAGAGATGAGGTGAGAGGCTCGGAGTAGACCGGCTACTCTTCCACATCGAGAGGAGCCAGTTGAGTTGGTTTGGGTATCTGGTCAGGCAAACCTGGTGAGGTTTTCCGGGCACGTCCAACCGGGAGAAGACCAGAAGGAAGACCCAGGGTGTTTCTCAATGTCAAGGCGCCTGGCCTTATGAGACGATGTCTTTAGAGGCCAGGCGCCTTGCTTACGAAGACACGGTCCTTCCTTGGTCAAAGAAAACGGTTAAATAGAACAGACTTGATTCACGTGACCGCGGCTTCCACGGCGGTCACGTAACCTCACGTGACAAGGGAGATAACATTATATTTTATACGTATTAGTTTCAATATACATAAATAACGAGACTTTTACTTTTAAATATTTGTATATGTTTATTAAATTAGATATATAAGTGAGTTTCTACCCGCTAGCCATCGAAGCTGCAACTACTAAGCAACTAACCAACCGTAGATAACTTCTTTGGATCTAAAAAACATTTTAAATTAGTTGACTTACTTTTAAACTTGAAATTTGTCCCAGAAGTAGCTCCCGGCTTCTGATCTGCCATCCTTTAGAAAATACCGCGGCGTGTTGTGGGTAACTTTTGACCAAGGCTGGGCTACAAGACACCTCCAATGTATCCTCGCTCAGCTAGCTAAACGGCTAACAAACGGAGAACACACGTCTCGGTAGAACATGAACATTGGAAAACGTCTTGGCGGTTCCTGATGACGTACCTCCTAGGCAACCGGGTAGGGGCCAAGACATCAAGGCAAGGTTCCTTGGCATTGAGAAACACCCTAAGTCTCTCTGCTGGCCAGGAAACGCCTCAGGATTCCCCGGAGGAGCTGGCCCAAGTGGCTGGGGAGAGGGAAGTCCCTGCTTAGGCTGCGGCCCCTGCGACCCGCCCCTGGATAGGCGTTAGATAAGGGATGGATGTTAAAATGGTTAGATTTCCAGGCAGCGCCGTAGAAAGTTCACATAAAAACACTTGAAGTGTTTAATAATTATGTTTATCCCCCAAAACAGCAGCTTGAATCATTGGGTAACGATAAGTTTGGTTCTGAATCCTAACCATCTATCATGACCTAGGTGACTCACACATAAAATAAGTTTCTTCTCTAGTTCATTTTATTTCACCCTTTATTTTTATCCTCATTAACAGCTGATTACATGCCCCCCCCCCCCCCCCCCCCCTTACATGGGTCTGTATGAAGGTGCTCTCTGTGCTGCAGGGCAGCCAGGAGTCACAAACTTCCTGCTCTGTGCTTTACTTTCCTTTTCCAGCTCAGAGTTTG